CAGCATACAGCGACGATGCTGTAGTCCCCATTCGCTACCAAAATGCTGCGCCGCCCGTATACACTCTGGTCCTCATTCTCGTACCTATTGGCTCTGCCATTTACATTACTAGCACACGCTTCACCGACTACCGTCATTTTGGCTTCGACATGCTATTTGGCACATTGATCGGCGTAACCTGTGCGTGGTTCTCCTTCCGCTGGTACCACCTCCCCGTCACGCGAGGTGCGGGCTGGGCCTGGGGACCACGAAGCTACGAGCGTGCATGGGGCATTGGCGTAGGCAGGGGCACTTATGTTGGCACAGAGGGATGGAGCAAGGCGGGTGCAGGTGCAAGGAGGAGGACAGATGTTCAAATGGGTGTACACAGTGTTGACGATAGCGAGTTGGGCGTCCTTAACCATAACGGTGTGCCACATGCTGGAAACCCACCTAGTTCGAGGCCATCGAGAGCCGGTGCATCCCGCGACATGTAATCACGTTGTTTGTTTTCCGCCTAGCACGTTACATCAATTTTTAATGTCAAAACAAGTCTAATGAGACGCATGGCATAACGGTCATTCATTTTCTAGCAGCTCGGTTCGTCTTTACAGCACTTTGTACATAGAAAAGCATCATACCCATCTACTTTTTACATTTTTCTTCTCCCACCGCAATAGACTATAATATTGGAGACCACGGCGTTGGCTATACTATCACTTGTCATATCGACACTATCAATCATCTACTGCTTACAACTATCCCCAGCACTCGCAAATACCAAGCAATAATGTAGCATTCAACTCATAATTAACCCCCAATTCATAGCCAATCACAATTACAACCACACCAACACTCCTGCATCTTGATATGCAGTCATAGTTGCATAATTCTAGCACCGTCCCAGCAAAACCTGATCCCCTCCCGTTCCTTCCGTGCCGCCTAACCTTATTCATGACACTGATGCTATGCTGCATTAGCCCAAACTCCACACGTATGCAATATGTACATCCTAGATCCACAACACTAAATTCCAACTCGAATCATATCAAGAATACACTGTACATGATTATCCGAAAAAGTAGCATAATACATATGCAATGTACTCGGTATATGTAATAAGACTGTATCGAACCTCCAAGTCTCACACGGCATATATTTGCTGGGCTCGTAAATTGTGTTAATCCTCCCCCTTTGACTAGAGATGTGCTAAGGATATAGTCACACGGACTATATGTAGATGTAGGTAGGCTTACGTCAGATCCTACTTTTGACGTCTATTTTGCCTAGCAATTCTACGTCATGGTACGATAGTTCGATGAGTGTGTTGTACTCTTCTAATCTAATAGGTAGGCAAGTTCGCTGTTGAAGCAGGTTTGTGTCGGCTGCACACGATGTACATGAACTTTTTCTGCACAGTCTATGTCACTGTCAAATTACCGTCATTGCTTAGCGTACTGTTCATTCGGCTATTCTTCGGTGATGGGTTGTGAAGAATTGTGAAAGATTAGATATTATTTTCATCTTGTTACAATCCAGTAACAATCGATATACTGATGATCCGCACAATAACCTGCAGTTTCACAAGTGACTGAAAAAAATGCGTGAGAAAACCTGTAGTCTAACAAGAGGCACACTAACAGCTACGTCCTTCAAGTGGAACCAGCGTCATCATCAAGCCAACGGTACTTTACTTACCAGCGGGAGATATAAGGAGATGTCGCTTTGGGTCTTGTCGCTTTGGGCTATGGTGACATGGCAAATCAAATGTGCTTTTAATGCTCCTATATATACTTCTCAACCAGCTGGCAGCTGAATACCCTTTCAAGGTAGACCTGGACGCCGGTGTTGAAAAGACGTGCTGCCCCAACTCTTTCTCCGCTACTCTTCAGCCGCAGAGCCGAGGTCTCTACTGACCCTTCTTTCCTCTGGACCTCTCCTCGTCCCTCTTGCGGTAGATCATGGCCGTGAAAGGGTCCTCCCACCTGCATGCAATCGAATAGGCAACTGCTACCAACCCGGAAAGGAGGATACCGGCCGGCTTGCCATACCAGATTGCAGTGGCCAAGAAGGACATCGTAGAGCCATGGTACATGGGAGAGCTGGAGACGCTGAAAGGGAAGGTTGTGACAGGCTCATCCATGAGGATTCCGAAGTAGTCTCCTAGATAAGTACCAGTGACACCAAGGGCCCACATGGAGGTTACGACGAGGACATTTCCAGTGAGGAAAAGTGGAATCGCCGAGTACTTGATCACAGGAGATAAAAGTGTTGGGTGCGTAGGTTGGTCTGCAAGAGCTTCGTTGTAGCTAGGTTTCGTTAGTGGTCGAAGTTGATAGACGAAGGATTGAGCTGCCCCGCGAATGACGTTTCGCTTTCTATACGTACAGGTAGTCTCTGAAGATGCCCAGCGAAAAGATGGTCACAGCGAGCCCATAGCAACCAAGTCGCGAGTTACCACCGAAGAGTTTTGTAATGGCCTTGTTGTGGTATTCTGGCACCTATTAGACTCTTGTCGTTTGCATCTTTGTGTGGTTGTCTGTAGCAACAATACTCAAGTACGTACCTTGCTGAGCTGCAATGCTGAACCATGTGTTAGTAGCTTCTGCGAGAGGTAGGTAATGCTGACTTACTTCCAAAAGGTAGGGTTGAATGCAATGCTGGCCGCAGATACTGTCGCCTGGTAAGTCTTTGTGTTTACAAGCGGGGCAATGCCTGATCGCAACACTTACTCCAGAGACTGGGCTTGCTGAAGTCGATATATCCAGCCATGATTTCGAGGACGACGAGGTGGAGCTTGCACGAACAGCAACCGGGCAGGTGAAAGAAAAAGACGAAAGTGACCCGTGTTAAGAGGGATTTGGGGATGTTGTCAGTTTACCGAGCTTGAGCATGTGTCGCTCGGCAGATGTGGAGCTACGGAACGTCATAGCTCGGCTTTACGGACGAACCATCCGAATGGAGAGCATCACGTGCAGTTCGTCGATATTCATAATTCAGTCGCGTCATCACAACGTACATAGTGGTACATGTGAAGAGTATTCAGAGACTCAAGAAGCATAACAAAAAGCATGCTAGGACAGTGTCGCGTGGCCAGAGAAATCATGCAAAAGAAAGAAAATTATGATAAAAACATACAATTGTAGAGATTCACTACTATCTACTTATCTCTATATTATTAGAGCCTAGTCTACTCTAATTCCTTTTGACGTCTCATAGTTAGCGCGTATAATACACTGCGATCTCACTTAGAGAGTTAGAGTAGATTAGAGAACATATACAACAATCACTCAATAAAGAAAAATACAGTTTAATACCGTCCTTCATAACTTATCACAATTTGATAAGAATATGCGAGACTCCTCTGCTGAACTCTATCAGACCTATAACTCATGTCAGCGGTTTCTCACTGCATATCCCGCGGAACTTGCCTTATGTTATGGGAAACTTCAAACCTTTTTGTCCTGGCGACAATTTGCCATGTCTAGACTAAGTCTTATTCTTAATGAATCCACGGTATTCGTATTTGTATTTGCGCCAAAAGGCCATGCCTTCCTAGCTGGCGCATGCCCCCGCACCACATTTATTCGTCCGGCCTTTCCTATCGTACATAGCCTTGATCGAGCCCCGTAAAATTCATATCACTTTCATCTATTAGGTAGCATTCTGTCTACACTCGTTGCTAATATCTAGGGCTTGTTAAATTTCTAACTGCCTTCATCCTAACATGGGACATGGGTGGGGACCACGGGTGGGACCGTTACCGTCATCAGTATGTCCAGCGCAGCTTACTCAGATCTGCAAGAGTTTATTGTATAGTCACGCCTCCGGCCATTTACTAACGGCTACGGGGATTGCACAGCTATATAAAAGCTCTCTTGTCAACTAAAAAGGCGGACCTAGGTAGAAAACAATTCTAACTGTCTGCAACACCCGCTATCTGTTAGGTCAACATTTGTTCAACTATGATGAAACTGTTTTTCCCTCTTTTAATCTCTCCTCTCTTTAGGTTTGCTCTTGCTGCTAAAGATCCCGTCTATTGCGCATGGGTAAACTGGCATGATAAAGATTGTCCAGGTTGGACAGTTAAAGGCTGCGTGAGTGATCCTACAGTGCCCTCTCTACCTAAACAGAGAAGGTTTTTAAGCGGGCGGTGGATTGTCCTGTAGCTAACTAGATACTCCTGCGTATAGTGTAATGACTTCAATAGGGAAGGCCTTTTTAGCAATAAATTTAAAAATGGGGAATACTCTCGTGACAAAAAGGGAATGCGTGTAGGATGTCGAAGCTCAGGATTAAACTACGATAACGGGTTTATTTTTTGTGCGGACTAGTATCGTAATAGCATACCTTTATATTTCCTATTCTGTTCCACGAGCACAAAGCACGTAGCTAGTGCCTCTTACTTTTATAATTTAGATTAGAATTTAAATTTAAATACTAATGTAACTAAGTCTGGAAGTACGATGTATAGTTATATAGCTAGTCACTAACTGATAACACTATTGAACGGGTGTAGGAGGGGGGTATCGGCCGCGAGTTCTACTATAGTAGGCGAGGGCATGGTTGTTCGTCGAACCAGCGCTTCACTAGGCAGTAGGGACTGTGTGCCACTAGCAATGAGAGGAATAATTAAACTTTTATTTTTAAAGCTTTATAAATCAGCCCTCTTTTCTGTACCTATACTACTCTTTCTTGTATTAACGATTAAGTCGGCCCGTACTATAGGCACAAGGATTACTCGCAACCCTGTGCACCGGCACACTATCATCTATAAGTTGCTGAACTTGAACAAAGTCATTAATATCATAGGCTTGGCACTGTCTCAAACATAAACCACCTACTCCCCTTCGCACGCAACGGCTCACGAGTTTCAAAAGGCTAGAGCTGAATGGACGATATCGGACAATCAATTTATGCAGGATCTCAGTTACTCAAGGGGTCCAGGTGTGAGTTTCGTCTCTCGTAATTACATATAAGCAAGATGACATTCGCTGTCCCAATACAAAGAAAAAAATCAATCACAAGCCATTATCGGCGCACGTGAACGGGCCACCAAACCCGTCCGCCTTATAACCGTCAATAATCGACTGAACCGTAGCATAGGTCCCTGCAGTAAGGAACAGCAGACCAATAAGACACAGCAAGATGTTGAAGAAAAATCCAAAATATCCGCGGAGCCCACGTGTCCTCCAGTACCTTGGGCCGTACTTTTCCGAGCGAAGCTGAAAGTAAGCAGCGCCCCAGAAAATGAAGCCAAAGAAAGAGTCAAAGAGCGAGCTCATGAGGGAGAGCAAGTCGGAGAAGAACGGAATGACTTCGGCAATGATGAAAGCCAGGACCCAGATGACTGCGAGAATTCCGGTCCACGTGAGCCAGCCAACGGCGGTATGGTCAGTCCTGTGTCGTGATGTAGGTCCAAAGATGCGGAAGAGCACGAATCGGGCGGTTACGGAAGCGTACAAGACACCAAGGAAGATGATAGTAGGTACCATGAACGTGAATGACACCTTCTTGTAGACTTCGTTGGAGATTGAGCCAAATGCCGGAGAGGTCATGTAATTTGTGCCCGTGTATCCATATACGACACCTCCCACGAGAGAAAAGACAATGACCTCGCAGATGGTGACAGCCCAGAGCGCCTTTGGGAAATCCTTGGGTTCTCTCATCTCAGCAATGAAGCTGGGAAGAGTGATTTGGCCAATGAAGGTGTAAGAAATGTTCATGAAAGCGCTCATTCCAAGGACGAAGGTGGTTCCAGCTGGAGGTATAGCATGGATTTCGAGCTCTCCCTTACTTGGGTAACCTGCGGGTTTTCCATCGACTCCAGAGAAGGCAGCTGCGAGTATGACGGAGACGAAGGTGAACAAAGCGGATCCGGTTGCTATTGTGGCCAGAGTGTTAAATGTACGGGGGAGAGAAGCCACAAACGAGATGATGGCGGTGATGGCAGCGAATGTAATGGTGCACGTGCCATGTGAAGTGATTGTGTTCCACCACTTGGCCCCCACAAGACAGTGCAAAGCCATGATAAAGACGTCTATACGTGCGTTAATATAGCGCACTGCAGATGAAATACATAGAGACTGGCTTACTGTTTAGAACAAACATGACTGAAGTAGCATAAAATGCCCATTTCTTATTCCAGAAAAGCATTTGGCCAATGTCACAGACATCGCGAATCTGGGGGTGGCGCATACAAAACTCCCTGGAATAGTGTTAGCGGGTACATAATATCAGAGCTATACAGATAAAACCCACCATGTGATCAAGGATGTGTAAAGGACAAGGCCCGCAACCACTGCTGTGAGTATAAGACCTGGTACCAATCCCAAAACCGAATAACTCCACGGAAAACTCATGATAGCCAAACAGATGTACTCTGAGAACAAGAGAGCTGCGGTCTTCTTCCAGCTACAGGTGCGGTATTTCAAAACGTTGTTGGCCTCAAGTTCAATCTGTTTGCCGATCGTGATGCTGGCGTCTGAAATGTCATCGTTGGTAGGCGCAAGAATTCCTTTTGCGGCGGCAGCCTCGGGGTCGTAATTCTTCTCTCGATCGTTGGCAACCTTGTCGCTGCTGCTATGGCTAGCGTTGTCGGACGGCGAAGCCTTGCGACCTAATAGACCTTTCAACGCCATTTCAAGCAGCGAATACACCTCTTGGAAGGTATGTAATAAAAACGACAGGGGGATGCCGGTTTCGGGAGCATTAATTGCGCAAGTAGGACGTGGATGTTCCGGAGTGGAAGTGACTTGTACCACATATAAAAGGGCCCGGCACGCAGATCATTATATATGCTGAGTGAGGGAAAGAGATGGCGAAGAGACTGCTCCAGGATGGCTAGGCTAAGATTAGTGGGGGGGGGTTAAGAGGTTCGGTGAAAGCGAACAGCGAGCATGAGAGTGGATCGCTTCCAGCCTGCTGGCGCCACGCTATGACTGCGACACCCTCCGACCTTGACCTTGCCTCTGCCACCATGAAATCTCCGCGTTAGACTTATGATCGGCAATGCTGTTTTGCTGGGGCTCCTGTCAGCAAAGCCACGTTCATGTGTATCAAGCTCCTCGGACTGTTGCTTTGTGACCGTTAGTCAAGGCCCGGTGTTCGGCCTGATGGCTCTGACAAGCGACTCCCAGGACCGGGATTTCACCCTCACACCCTTCCTGCAAGGCCGGCCGCCTGTTGCACGCGGCAAAAGTGAGAAGAGCCATCCTGATGTCACAGTGCGTCCAATAAGCACTGTGGCTAAGCTCCACACCCCTCGACTTGGCTTGCTTAGCTTACGCGAACCTGCGGGCCATTCGACATAACCAAGCCTTGCCAATCCTCCCGCGGGGAACATAAGAAATCTTCCTGTCTGGCTGGTCTGGAATCATTATCAGTTAGGCAAAGCCGCGCCGCATCTGCGTCTCTGGCTGATGGGATGGCTCTGACGTCGCGGATTGGGGGTTTATGCTGATGAGCAATGAATTCGCCATATGACGTGCTCAGGCGCCTGGTCGTTGACCGTGTTGCCTCCGGCTTGGCACATCAGAGAACAATGTCTTCTACACATGTATGCGCAATAGCCATATACGACTCATCCGCCGTCTGGGAGAGCCCACAGACCTGTCCAATGCATTTTGCTGTAAGAGATGCCTCCAACTGGCCCCACTATCGCAACTCTCAACCGTTGTCGGCAATCGCCTTTGTCTTTTTGTGGAGGTGGCGGGTGGCGTTTCCATCTTTTCCATCTTCGGATGGTTCTATGGCTGACACCAAGACTTTGAAATGTGGTTTTCAGAAACTACCGCTGAGCTATTTTTCTCCTCTCCTCTCTCTCTCTTCTCTACTGAAGAAAGAAGAATTAACCGAGACGCACAAGAACGGTGCTTCTCGCATTCTCAATACTGCGCCTCGTGAAACAAAAGAAAAGACAAGAAAACGCCTTCGCTAATAATCATTCTATCAAGCCAGGTATGCCTCCCCCACTGCGTACGCCAAAAACTAAATCAAGCTATCTCCGCCACTTCCCCAGTTCATCTGTTGTTGAGACTGTTGCTGCTGCTGCTGATTTTGTGTTTGTGCCCGCAAACTCGCCATACTATTATTCATACCCATACCCATGCCACTATTTGAGCTTGCCGTCCTATTGCCCATGCTCGGTGGAGGCGCTATACTAAACGTACCGGCACCATTGCCTGCCGCCGATTTCATAGGTGGCGGTGCAATACTGAAAGACGAATACGGATTACCATAAGCTTGAGACTGTGCTGGTTGAGGTGCCATAGAAGGGAAGCTGGAGAACGAAGACGAGTTCGTGGACATGGAGTTTGTTGCTTTGCTCCAATCGATACTTGAACTTTGTGTTGAGGTACCGCTGGGAGATATAGCGCTGTTCATGCCCATTGCCGGTCTTGATTGTTGCTGAGGCTGAGTAAAAGATGAACTGCCGATGCCGGGGTTGGCTGCACTTAAAGCTGGGAAGGATGAGTTGAGCGAATTGAGTGTTGTGTCCGGTGTGACAGAACGACCCTGTGGTTTGGGAGCCGAGAGATTCGTCATCGGCGGAGGAGACACTGGAGGTGTAGACCAGGAGAATGCTGGGGCTGGAGATGCATTGTTGGATCCCACTCGGTTGTTTGATGGGCGAGAAGGGAGAATTGTCGAAGACGCTGCAGATGACGGGGCGTTTGCCCATGCGTCTCCTCCAAGCATGTCTGTACCACCAGAAGATCCTTGCTGCCCACCACGTACGAGTGCTTCAAAATCTGCCTCACCATTCCCATTGCTGGTATCGAAGCCATTCGTGGTAGATGGTCCTCCAAACGTCATGAACTCGTTGCGTGTGGTTGCTGTCGAGCTGTTTGCGCCCAACTCTTGCAGTTTTCGAGTCTGCTCGTTCTCCACACGCGCTGACGTTGACTTGATGAGGCTCATGTATGCTTGGAATTGGGGAAGGTTAAGTAGGGGCCCCAGACTGAATTGCCACAAAATGGGTAGAACATCCATGGCCAGGAAATCACTATCAACTGAATTGCTGATAGCTTTGAAGACATCTAGTGCGGCCATCTATAATAATTAGCTTTCTGTTTTGAGATTTACTCAGTCAAACATACCATGACTGCGGGCTCCTTTGTCTTGATAGCACGGAGGAGCGGCACAACCTTTTCCTGGATGGTGTACTTGTCGAGGATCGAAACATTCGAGCTTTTGGCCTTGGGGGCCGCTACCACACCAGTCAGGCCGTCACCCTGATAGTCGTCTTGCTGTTCATTTCCGCCACCACAGAGAGTCTTGAAAGCTTCCAGACCACGAATCTTGATACCCATACTACTGGTCTTTGCAAATATACTAGCAATAACTGGGAACAGCTCGTTCTTAACAGTTGAGAAGTCAAGAATCGGCAAAACGACAGGTAGGGTACGCAAGGCAGCATCGACCAGGGAGTGGGTAGGAGACTCAAGGGCATAGTTGATGATAGGAAGGATATCATCTTTGAACTCCTTTCCACTGCAGTTGTCCGCAGACACTTGTATGTTTTCGAGTACGACCATGAGTCCGGCTTCCTTCAGGCTATCTCTTTCCTGACCCGGTGCTTTTGTATTTGTAGCCGCCGGATTCAAAAATGTCTCTCGCAACTTGGGAATGACCTTTTCGGTGAAGGCCTTTTTGCCAGACGGAAGCATGGTGATGATCTTGAACACATTCTGAAGAATCAGCGTGAGGAGCTCGCGGTCCTTCATCTCCTCGAGCAAAGCCGGGAGTATCTTCTTGTCTACTACGGATTTTGGAAACTGGTTTAAAATGCGTGGTAGGCCCCTCATAAATTGTGACTTCTCATTGGGAGTCTTTGCTGGCAGTGAATCGAGAAATCGAATCGTAGATACCAAAATGTTGTCAAAGTATTGTGCCTGCTGGAACTCTCGAGCGTCTAGTCGTTGCGCAGGTCGTCTTGTGATCAAGCGATCCAGGACCCCGTTGGTAAGGTCCCGTGGCAGTGGCTGTGAAGACATGAAGTTGTTGGTTTTGCTGGGTACCGAAGACGCCGACGAAAAAGCCCGCTTGTACGAGGAAGAGCTTCCATTGAATTCGAGAGGGCTTTTGTGTGGCGAGTTGTATAGTGCAATTATGAGCATACCCAAACTGAACATGTCTGCTGCAGGTGTTATGTTGTTGTCCATGACGAAATCGGGCGAGGAGTAATCAAGGTTGAGCTGAACGTGTCGGGGGAGTCGGGCATCGTAGTTGAGGACTTCAGCAAGTGAAATCGGCGTTACGGACGTGGGTTTCGTGGAGTTCTCTGGAGGCGTTGCGAAGCCTAAACCTGATATTTTCCAATCAGACTATCACCGCGATCAGTAATTTGAGACATGTATAGCATTGCGACTACCTACTTTAGCGTTGATGAAGATGGCGTCAGGCGTCAGGTTGGCATGTACCAAGCCAGCGCTCTCATGCAAGAACTCGAGTCCTTTTGCAATCTGTAACAAGCCCTTTTGGATCTCGAGTTCGTCAATCTCAAGTTCGCGCCTGCGTTTCTGGCCATCCGCTTCTTCGATGACATAGCGACTGCGACGTCCTCCAACACCGCCAGCCTTCTCTTGTTCGTCCTTTTCCAGTAACAGGCCAGAAAGCGAGGCTGTGACCGGCTCTGTTGCGAACATGAGGCCTCCGCCGCGTGTTTCCTCAACAGGCTCCACTAACTCCAAGATACTCGGGTGCCGTAATCTAGCGAGCGAGCTGGCCTCTTTCTTGAGCCGTTCAACCACCTCCTCATGCGCCCGCTTGAGCCCCGAAGCTGCAGAGCGGCCGCCGAAGCCGGCGCCAGCAGGCGGTTCCAATGACTTCTTCTCGAAGATAAAGACGGAGGCCGCCTTGCCTGTTGATTTCTTCTTGGCGTCGTATATCTTCCATGGCCCTGAATAGGATGTGGGCTGCGGGCTGAGGGTATAGTTGCTGGAGATGTTGGAAGTGAAGGACTTTAGGGCGTTGGAGAACATGGTGCCAGTGGTCTCGCCCGCGCGGCAATGTCGTGGGTGTAGGGCGAGGGCGTCATGGACCGTGGCCTCTTGGGCTGGGATTCGCGTAAGAGTCTGAGACAGCTGGGCGCAAGAGTTCAAATTCCAGGCATCTCAGATGGCAGCCCTCTTTTCCGCGCGGTGCTCCGAACCGACTCGGCTGCTAGCGGATCGTCAATGTAGGCACGTTGAATGATAGTTGAAGCCAAGTGTTAGACCCCACGCGAGCCACGGTCCAGGGGTGTCTTCTAGTGTACGTCGCGTGCATGAACACGACGCCGTGTGTACAGTATGCCGCCGCCGCCACAGACGCATCAGCACTCGAGGCAATGACGCGAATAACCTCAAATATCCGCCTTGGTAGTCTCCATCCTCCGGCCACGCCCTTTCGCATGTGGCGGTGAGGGCGGGCGTCTGTAATTCGATATGACTGTTCGCATCGCTGGTAGGGGCTCCGGTTACGTCTAGACCCCAGTCAGGTCGCATAGTCCGAAAGAATAAACCTTTGACACGACTTGCAACTCCCACCCACGCCCACGTATATTCTGCTTGTGCAGCATACACCACAATGCTTCAGCATCGGTCTTCACGATTGATCTCCTCGCTGTCCCATTGCGCGTTCCGCTCATCAGCAGCACCGCTCAGCGCCTCGCTACGATGTCGGACAACGAGGCCGTACAGCATACACGCCGATGTATCTGTTGGCGAAAAGATCCGGGACATTGATCCCACCAAGCTCAGCATTACCAGGACGACCACACCAAAGGACCTGTTGCCTCCAGAGGAACTCATCTTTGGTCGTAACTTCTCAGGTAAGAGCCCCTGCCGCAGTAGATCATGTGTTAGACTCTGCAACTGACACCCAATTCTCAGACCATATGCTCTCGCTCGAATGGACAGCAACCCAAGGATGGCTTCCAGCGCGCATCACCCCTTACCAGAACCTCAGTCTCGACCCCGCGACCTGCGTCTTCCACTATGCATTCGAGTGCTTCGAGGGCATGAAGGCCTACAAGGACAAGAGCGGCAACATTCGGCTCTTCAGACCGGATAAGAACATGGCCAGGCTAAACAAGTCATCTGCCCGAATTGCATTGCCTACCTTTGACCCAGATGCCCTGACTGAGCTCATTGGCAAGTTTGTCAAGGAGGACGAGCGGTTCGTTCCTGAGTAAGTTCACTCTTGAGCTCTGTGTCCATCACGCACGCATACGACTAACCACATGGCAGTGCACGAGGATACTCTCTCTACCTTCGCCCCACCATGATCGGCACTCAGCGCACTCTCGGTGTAGGCCCTCCGGCTTCGGCACTGCTCTACGTGATTGCTTCGCCAGTTGGCCCCTACTACCCTACCGGCTTCAAGGCCATTTCGCTCGAAGCCACAGACTATGCAGTGCGCGCATGGCCAGGAGGCGTCGGCGACAAGAAGCTTGGTGCCAACTACGCGCCTTGCATTGTGCCACAGATGCAGGCTGCAAGCCGTGGATTCCACCAGAACTTGTGGTTGTTTGGTGAAGAGGAGTACATCACCGAAGTTGGCACTATGAACCTGTTCGCTGCGATCAAGAACAAGGAAACTGGAAAGCCAGAGCTGCTCACTGCGCCGCTCGACGGTACCATTCTCGAGGGAGTCACACGCGATTCTATTCTTGAGCTTGCGCGAGAGCGCTTGGTGCCCAAAGGCTGGACTGTAACTGAGCGCAAGTTCACCATGAAGGAAGTGGCCGATGCCGCTGACGAGGGACGCATGATGGAAATCTTTGGTGCAGGAACCGCGGCCATTGTCGCCCCAGTCCGAAAGATCAGCTGGAAGGGACGTCTCATCGACTGCGGGCTTGAGGACCATGTTGAAGCTGGACCTGTTGCTCAGCAGATGAAGGAATGGATGGAGGCGATCCAGTATGGTGACGAGGACCACCCATGGAGGTATGTGCACTGCAGTTACTATGTCGACGTCGATCAATTGCTAACACCCAACAGCTACAAGGTCATTTGAACAAGGAGAGGCTGATCAAAAGTCGTGCTGTCTTTTGCGTTGTTTCTCTATACAGGTCATGAGACGGATAGACGTGATGAAGGACATTGCGGGGCCATGGATGCGTGGTGGGGGGGTGATGCGAAGAACTATAGAAGGCAGTGTCTTTGCAGTAGACTAGAGGGGCCTCAACCATGCGTTTATGTCTGTGCCAATTGAGCCGAGTCTTGACTGTGCGGATGAAGTGATTTTGTGTCGAATATGAGGGTGAATGCTGAGTCCATGTACCTGAATGGATGTATGTATGTATGACGTTCCCACATGGGGGGCATTATTAGCATGGAGCTAGCTCCCGAGCTCCTCTGCACGCTGTTTCCTCTCCGCCCGCTGCCCTCTGCCGCCTGCTCTCCGCCCACACGCTCAGTGCACCACCGACTGTCGCCAATTGCCCGCCAGAGCTGCGCTGCCCGCCTCTTTGACATTGCCAGTACACGCCTCATTGTATCGCCCCTTGCGCAATTCGCACAATGCTGGCCGGCGCACTCTGCCGCTTGGCAGCCGACGTCCCCAGGGCGTCCCCACACAATGTGCCGCAACTCGCACGCCACCTTGAGCGCGTGCTCGTTATTCGCAGCGCCGCTGAATCCTCCCCCGCCCGCGCCTCGCCGCGCATCTACGCGTATGCCCGCTGCTATGCTACGACTACACGCGCAACCAAGCCCACGGCCACGGTGAAGAAGGCGGTCAAAGCGGCCGCAAGCGAAAAGACCCCGCCAAAGAAGAAGGCTGCACCTGCAAAGACGACTGCAAAGAAGCCAGCAGCCAAGAAGACAAAAAAGCCAGCGGCCAAGAAGCCAGCGGCCAAGAAGGCGGCCCCGAAGCGTGCGAAGAAGAAGGTACTAACCGAGGAAGAGAAGGAGAGGGCCAAGATCCGTCAGCTGCGCGCAAAGGCCTTGAAGGAGCCCCTTTCGCAGAGGACGCTGTCGGCCTACAATCTCTTTGTTGCCGAGCTCACCAAGGGCAAGCCGAGTGGTAGCGACACTCAGGTGTCCAAGATCACGAGTGCTACTAAGGAGTTCAAGAACCTGTCACCCGCACAGCTCGAGGTAAGAAACTACAACTCCAGTCAACTCCTACCTCATACACGTGTGTACTAATGGCAATGCTTAGCACTACAACCACCTTGCCAATGAGGAAAATGCCAAAAGGAAGGCCGAGTTCGACAAATGGCTCCAGTCCTACACCCCACAGGAGATCCGCATTGCCAACCTCGCTCGCGCCCAGCTGCGCAGGAGACTCGCCGGTAAACAGAAGGGCCACCCTGCCCACTCTGCCAAACTACACGACCCCCGCCACGTCAAGGCCACGCTGAACCCCTACGCCTTGTTTTCCCGAGCCAGACACGCCACCGGCGACTTCAAGGGCATCCCTGTTATCCAGGCCTCCAAGCTCATTGGTGCTGAGTGGAAGTCATTGAACGAGAGTGAGAAGCAGGTACGTTCTTTTCCCCAACTAGAAGAGTCAGCATACAATCATGGCACTAACGTGAGGATCAGAAATACCAAAGCGAGGCCAATGCTCTAGCTACCAAGCAGTAAAGACGTAAATACTACATGTACACAATTACTGCCCTTGCACTACAGTGAGCAGGTTACTTTTTTTTAATACCCTTAGCTTGCCTCTGTTCTGCTTTAAACCAAACTCTATGCGACTGTAGTACCTCGTTTTCCTTTGTATGCCGCTTAGAAGGTTTTTAAGGGGTGGGAATGGGGGTTATTGGGGGATAGGGGAACGGGAGAAATGTAATACCACTGTACACCCATCTAGTCTGGCTACTAGATCTTTGGCGGTCGGTTTTCCAAGGTTAACCTAGGTTCAAGGAATTGAATGAGGGTTACGCGATAACTACTGTTTATAGCTGAGACATGTTTCTGATGAGTTATCTTCGTACTTTGATTTGGTTTCTTGTGTTTGAAGGTCTAATAGAAGATAGGTCTGGGCGAGTGTGTGTGGTGTTAGGACTTGACACTCATACGCCTAACCCGTATTTTTTTCCCTGCCCTTGCCTCATGAGGCTTTTTAGCACACCATAGCAATTAGTTACAAATACACGACTGATCGCATGACATGCATGGATGTACCCCGCAAAAAGTAACCAGTAAGCAAAAAAAACAATCAAAGGAAAAGCAAACTTACGCGTCTACCCCGCCTGTCAACACATCCCAGACACTCATACATGCAAGTACACACATATTGCCAAAAGTAGTTTAGTAACATTAAACTCACTCATCACTCCATTCACAGCGCATTACAGCACAAGACTTATTCCACATATGATAATTGATTACAGCATCTTTTCGCTAACAAGAAGTTTCAAGGAGAATGGTGCCGTTGCCCGTGACGATGCTTTGTCGCGGGAATCAAGACTACCACTCCCGCATCATTGCATCCCATAGAGGCACGACCCGATTGCTCACAGTACGAATCGAATTGATAACATGGTTGTTGGCCCGCATTCGCAATGATCCAACACCCAAGCCCAGCAGGGATATTTAGTTTCGACCACTCTACTCCTCAGCCTCAAGAGGAGCCTCCTCGTCGTACTCCTCCTCGCCCTCAGAGACGGAAGCCTCCTGGTATTGCTGGTACTCGGAGACCAAATCGTTCATGTTGGACTCAGCCTCAGTGAACTCCATCTCGTCCATACCCTCACCAGTGTACCAATGCAAGAAAGCCTTGCGCCTGAACATGGCAGTGAACTGGTCACCGACACGCTTGAACAGCTCCTGGATCGAGGTCGAGTTACCGACGAAGGTGGAGGACATCTTGAGGCCGCGGGGAGGAATGGAGCAGAGGGCGGTCTGGACGTTGTTGGGGATCCACTCAACGAAGTAGGAAGAGTTCTTGTTCTGGACGTTGCGCATCTGGTCCTCAACCTCCTTCATTGAGACCTTACCGCGGAAGTAGGCGGAGCAGGTCAGGTAGCGACCGTTGCGGAAGTCGGAAGCAGCCATCATGTTCTTGGGGTCGAACATTTGCTGGGTGAGCTCGGGAACGGTGACGGCGCGGAAGGAGTGGGCGCCACGGCTGGTAAGAGGAGCGAAACCAACCATGAAGAAATGGAGACGGGGGAAGGGAACCATGTTGACGGCAAGCTTCCTCAGATCAGAGTTGAGCTGACCAGGGAAACGCAGGCAGGTGGTGACACCCGACATGACGGCGGAGACGAGGTGGTTCAGGTCGCCGTAGGAGGGGTTGTTCAGCTTGAGAGTCCTCATGCAGATATCGTAGAGAGCCTCGTTGTCAATGCAGAAGGTCTCGTCGGAGTTCTCAACCAGCTGGTGGATGGAGAGTGTGGCGTTGTAGGGCTCGACAACGGTGTCGGAGACCTTGGGCGAGGGCACAACGGAGTATGTGGCCATCATGCGGTCGGGGAACTCCTCACGAATCTTGGAAATGAGGAGCGTTCCCATACCGGCACCGGTACCACCACCGAGAGAGTGGGTGATCTGGAAACCCTGAAGGCAGTCGCAGCCCTCAGCCTCGCGACGGACGACATCGAGGACCTGGTCAACGAGCTCGGCACCCTCGGTGTAGTGACCCTTTGCCCAGTTGTTACCAGCACCAGACTGGCCGAAGACGAAGTTGTCGGGGCGGAAGAGCTGACCAAAGGGACCAGCGCGGACGGCGTCCATGGTACCGGGCTCGAGATCAACGAGGACAGCACGGGGCACGAACTTGTTGTTGGAGGCCTGCTGCAGATCAGTATTGGTCTTTTTTTCCGTCGGACCTTCAGGGGGCGACGTACTTCGTTGAAGTAGACGTTCATGCGCTCGAGCTGGAGGTCAGAGGTGCCATTGTAGACACCAGAGCCATCGAGACCATGCTCGCCGGAGATGGTCTGCCAGAAGGCGGCACCAATCTGGTTACCCTGCAGAGTCTGTTAGAAGCCGCGTCGACAGCTTTTGCAGGGAGCGAAAACATACGCATTGACCGGTCTGAAGGTGAACCTGTAGTAGAGAATGGCTGTCAGCTGTCTTGTTTGCAATCTCGTGTTGTCCCTGAATGCAGATCGCGGGGCAAAGTTGCGCCACGCGCTGCACTCGAGGGAGGGTCGGATACGTACAATCTCACGCATGATGGCGGTTTGGGGGTGGAATATGGAAAGTAGAAAGGTGAGGGTGTGAGAAGCTGTGTTTGGGGCGGGTGGATGGGTGTTGGTGATGTGGAGAGGCGGTGTGAAGGGGAGCAGTTAAACAAACTGTGCGGGTCTGCACAGGCCAGGCCCCCTCGCGTCGGCGCTAAGCACAACAGGCACCAGCTTTGTACATAATCTGGTGCTACTACCGATATGTCCACGCACAACAAAGAGCATAAGCAAAGGCCATGTCTTGCGCTGCGTCGTGTGCATCTACACGTATACCTGCATCTACACCTACATTTACATCTATCCGTCTATAGATTGGCTCCATTGCGCATGCCGAAAAAGAAATAAACCAACAGCATCCGACAGGTACCAAGCAGTAGTTGCACATATCTAGTACATCCATGGCAACCCAGCAGCATACTACGCCACCTTCTTCGCATCCCTTCCTCTAGCCCTTACCTCGGGCACCGTCCACACATTTGGCCACTGCAACTCGTACTCGTCCTGTCTGTAATTAAGACAGTGCCGGAGCCAAATGCCCCACACAATGTAGAAATATGCCCCAAGCCCAGTCATCAAGTGCCTGTCTGGGTAAGTCTGTGTCGCTGCAAGCACGTTGCGCATACGTACCACCATCCATGCCCCTCGAGCACAAAGCCCCAAGGCATGCCGGCTTGCCTCCGCCACCCGATCAGCCGCGAGCAGAAAACGTTGTCGAGATTCCAGATGGCGAATCCGCCCAGGAAGATGCTGAGACCAAATGCAATCATCTTCCACATGGTACTGAGAATCTCTTCGTCTCGTTGGTTTTCCTGTCGCACTGCTTTTGCACTCCCATCCAGGCGCGGGTTCGCTGCCTCTCTCTCCTGCGATCGGAAGCGCGGTCGGATATTGACCTCCATTACGTAGAGGGCGCGAAAGAACACGACTGCTGTGAGAACTGCGTAGGCATTCTGGTGAAAGGTCGGGTCTTGCAGGTAGTGGTAGTAGAGTGTGATGAACACCGCAAGTGACGTGAGGCAGATAGCGAGTACCGTGGAATACAGTCGTGACTTGCCGTAAGAGAACGTGGCAAAGTTCATCAGACATGTCGTGTAAATCATCGAAAGCTCATCGACAAGCTGCATGGGGTCTGTCGTCATCAGGAATGGGTTCACAGCGTTTCTTCCCTCTCTCTGCCCCCCTTCGCTCTGCTGCTAGACGTACACTTCAATGTCGCATGAAACAACAAACTGCCGCTCCCGACAAGGAAATAGCCAACAAAGCTAACAAGGAAGACTGTATCGTGCCCATACTTCAAGCAGCTGCGAATGCCTTTTGTAGCTAGATATATGAACAACAGGTTGGTCAAGGTATTCACCGCTTCAGCGATAAAAGGTGTTACCACATAGTTCTTGATGCAGACTTGTCAGTAACGCACTCTGCGGAAGCTATTCGTCAGATCCAATCAACACACCTCCTCACACCAGTCCAGTGTGCTTGTTACCGGAGAAAAGTAGCCATCTTGTTCAGGCGGATACGCTATCGACGGCAGGTGAGAGAGTAGCCCAGACATACTGGCGCCGAAAGAGAAAAGCAAAAATGGACGAAAAGCACGAAAAAAAAATCGATAAGCTACCAAGGGTTCAATGTTGGATGATCACAGTTATACGTATCTAGTCTCGGACTTGCCGGAAGTGGGAGCCTCCCGAAAGCCGGTCAAAACACAACACGGCATTGAAAAAGTAAATTTGGATGCGAAATAGCCAAAGGATCCATAGTTTGGATACTAAACTTGGATATTTTGATGAATTAAGTTATAAATTCTTCGTTCGAAATGTCTTAGATATGACCCCGCGTCGTTGTATAGAGTCGTCTACCAATGTGACAACAACGGCAACCAAGGAGACAGTTGCCACAAGTATCTAATAAAAGTAATCGTAGCATGAGAAATATGCACATCCCTACAAACCTACCTGTATCATCGGCCTTCCCCAAATACTATCAACATTCATCCCAGTCCATTTATCATGAGGGGCACCAGCGTAACCCCCACCAGCCAATCACAACCCCGCCACCCACCGAACCGAGTTTGAACCAACCCATCCTTCCGCCGCCCTTACTTCACGAGCCCCAGCCAGGGTCGTGGCAGTCCCCATTAGCCAAACCCTCCAAACCCTCGCAAATATGTCTATGCCCAACGAGGCCTTGCAAAAGGTACGTTTAGCCTCATAGACGCGTAGTATTGAGTAAAGAATCTTTTCGTGCGTTGTACCTGACACAAAAAAACCACAGGTCCTACAGGAAATCAGCCAGAAAAAGGCGTTTGCCGAACAACAACTCGTCATTGTCAAGCAGCAAAAAGCAACTCGAGCAAGGGAAAGCCGCATGTTGCAACTTACTTCGTCCGAGGTTTCGTCGCTGCCTGCAGACACGAAGGTGTACGAGGGCGTCGGAAAGATGTAAGTCACGCATATACTACCATCTCTTGGTTTGCCTCGTGACTGCGGGGCGTCAGAAGAACATGAAGAAAAGATAGGAAGGGAGCTAATTTATCAAACAAAGGTTCGTCTGCACGCCCATTCCGGATGTGCAGAAAAGGTTGGAACAAGAGAGCGAGGCGCTGACTAAAGAGATGGCGAATTTGGATAAGAAGGAGGATTATCTGGAGAAGACGTATGCGAATAGCAAGAGTAGTCTTGAGCAGGTGCTCAAGGGGGCTGCTTGAGCTTCGTCACTATCAGCAGCGTATCGAGACCATGGGAAGCCCTATGTACTACGAAGATCAAAGGAAGAGAGAGTGTATGACGGTGCATTGATATGCCCGCTACAGCAGCTCTCGGTATGAACCCTCTCATCAATGAGCAGAGCAGAGCAAAGATGATGGTAGAAATGTACGACTCCATTGTATATCTGAATGCATACCTGCAGATGACAGCCATCTATCACGCCCACAATGCATATCCACCTACATCAAACTTTTTAAATACCCATTTACCTCATCCTCACAAGCATACTCTCCACCCCTTCAATGCACTTTCTGACCTCCTCCGCCGCCCTCGCCACATACGCCCCATCCACAACCCTATGGTCCGCACTCCAGCTAAACACGCACTCCTCCCTCTTCACCAACTCCCCATTCTCCCCAAACGCAGGCACAACCCTCGCCTTGCCCACCGCGAGTATACCCACTTGCGGGCCGACGATGACGGGCGCAACGGTACCGCCACCGATACTGCCAATGTTGCTGACTGTAAATGTGGCGCCAGTAAGATCGGCGGAGGTGAGCTTGCCGGAGCGGGCAAGAGAGCTCAATCGCTGGATCTCTTGTGCGAGGGATACGATGCTGTGGTTTTGCACGTTTTTAATGACGGGGACGAGGAGGCCGGAGGGTGAGTCCACAGCGACGCCGATGTTGTGGCTTCCCTTTAAGATCATCTGCGGCTTGTCGGGGTTCGTGCTTGTGTCGAGGTGCGAGTTGAGCAGGGGGAACTGCTGGAATGCTAGGGAGACGGCTTTAATGATGACGGGTAGTGGTGTGATTCGGTCTGCTTTTTCGCGGCCTGCGTTGTATTTTTTGCGTAGCGAGGTGAGGGAGCTGAAATCTACGGAGTCGGTGTAGAGGAAGTGTGGTATTGAGAGAGACTTGGTCATTTGCTTGAACATGCCGGATTGGACGGGTGTGAGCTGCTTGACCTGGTCTTCCAGGTGCTGGGTTGGGACGGACGTGGGCGTTGTTGTTGCGCGTGGTGCGCTTGCGGTCTGCTTAGCAGACTCGATGTGCCGTTGGACATCTTCTTTGAGCACACGGCCTTCTCTTCCTGTGCCTTGTATGTCCTCAATTCTGAGCTTATGTTCCTTGATCATGTGTCGTACTGCCGGTGTAGCAAGGGACGCATATTTGCCCGGTTGTCGTGGTGTTGGCGACGCCGCTGCTTGAGATGACTCTGATGGCTGAGCCGCCCTCTGATCTGACTTTGGAATATGGCTGGTAGCGGCCTTGGTATCATTGCGATCAATCCCAATCCCCTGTTCTTGTGCCTCTGTCGCCTTTGATGGTTCATCCTTTGGTTGTTCGGCCGAACTACCGTTAAGTAGGGCTTCGTCGGCAGCAGAGATCTCGCTCTGAATGTCAATGTCTACCAATGGCTTTGAAAGTCAGCTTAGCTTTGGGGGGGGGGATTCGAGGGAACAAGGCTACCTTTCCAACCTTAGCCATGTCGTCCGGCTCATAGTACAGCTTCTTAATGACGCCATCGAATCGCGAGGTAATCTGCTCACATTAGCCGTTGCTCCGCGCATCAATAAACTTTCTTTTACCTCAACCGACGCTTTGTCTGACTGCACTTCGCAAATGGGGTCAAACTGCTCGACGCGCGCTCCGGGCTTGACGAACCACTGGATAACCTGGCATTCGGTGATCCCTAAATGCAACATGCTTAGCTGTGGCTAATATATATCTTTGTTAACGTATTTACCTTCGCCAATATCCGCAAGCAAGTACGGCTTGACCACCAGCAGCCCTCTTGTTTCCCGGAATCCTCTTCTTTGCTCGTGTACGCGGATGTTGGCGCTCCTCCGTCCGGCAATTGACGCTCGCTGGGCAAGGTTTGGTCGGGAAAAGAGGCGCGACGCTTCTCTGCTTGCAAAGGACTTCATGGTGGATAGAGTGTGTCAACAAATCTTCTCAGTGGAAAAAACATATCAAGTGCTGCCGCCGAGGTGTGATGTTTGTGAGGGCTCTAAGCCGACCGGTTAGCGGCGGGTAACGCTAACAGAGTACATTCCAATCCCCGAGCCAAGATAGTTACATCACCTACCCCATAACCGCTATGTCCTAGCGTTAATTGAAATAACCGGACGCGTAGTACCGTTATAGCATGTCGCGATCTGGTTGTACAGCTCTCAAAATAGCTGCAGCTCGGTAGGTAACGCCTTGCTGGAAACTTACCTATTCCTAACAGACATCCCAGATTCATCTGACAGAACCAAAGTAAGTGCATCAAACTTCATAAATCTCCCATACGGGATAAGCATGTTGCAGTGCTGATATGCTACATTCAAGATGGCTTCTTTTGTGCGAAATCCCGCTTAACGAATTGTTCGAGGTGTTTTTCTATTGCGATCAATCAAGAGCCCACTCAATGCTACAGTTTTAATTCAGCAACACTAAACCAGCCAGCACAATCAAGCAGTCAGAGACTATAAACAAGACGGGTGATACGGTATAGTGGAGACAGAGGTTACTGTGTAGATGAACGAATGTTCATCATACTACCTAGCAGGGGACCCCAGACCTCTGTACTCCACACCAGCGCCGTTTCCGGACTACTAGCATCGTCCTCATCATCTTGAACCCAGCGTGTTTTACAGTGCTCCAGATGCAGTCTTTACGCCGCATATTGTCGCTTTATCATTGCGCATTCCCCTAACTAGCAGTCGCCGTGTCGTCATTTCAGAGGTCACACAGCATGCATGCGATTATATCCGTCGGCGAGACGATCGGGGATATTATCGTTTCGATTAAGCTCATCGCGGCAAGTCTGTTATTGTAGCTGCTCTTCTTGTAATTGTCGCACCGATGCACCTTCTCATACCATCTCCACACTTGATGTTGCAGCGAAGCCAAAACACATGTCTCTTCAAGCAGTTGAAGGGTAGTAACAGGACAACTACAGAGTAGATATCACTATTAATACCTTGACTGAGCTTTGATAATAGCCGCCTTGCTGGGTCTTCTCTTTGGGGATCACCCCGCGTCTAAGTTATTGATTATCGGCAGGGTCCCTTCCAACATGCTGGCATAGGAGATGATCATCGTGCAATTAGCCCATGTCGTCAGTATGTCCTTTGGAAATTCTAAACTATAAATTTGATTACCGGGTAACAACAGCAAGCGTCATGGACCATCCGAACCATCCGGAAATCCTGTATTCAGTACTCAAGTTCTGCGTGTTAAGTATCCTTTGTTCCCTCGACGTCCGCAGTAGTGGCTTATGTGCTGATCTCGACCGTATTAACCGAACACGGGTACATTGAATACATCAATTCTCCAATTACCGTTGCCAAGCAGACACGACCTGGCCCATTCTTGGCATGATGATCAAAATCCTAGCAGCATTGGCATATGTAACCTTTGCGTCGGCCGCAGACTACTGGGAAACACAGGCGGGTAGCTACCGCCCTTTTGGATCTGAAACTACCAATGGCGCCTATCCCCAAGACTTCACTCTAGTTGGACCGCCCCTGGAACCAGTTCATGACTCTCAAAAGCCTGCCACTGGACTGGCCATTGATTCGGCTCACCAGCTCTACCTGACATATCCCCGCAATAGTGGGCAGACACCCAACAACGTTGTGATTTGCACTTCTTTCAATGACGAAAAGCCGTGGCCCAACGCGAGCATACAGAACTGTACAGCCGGGCAAGATCCAAGCACATGCTTCATCAACGTACAGAACGTCATCTTGGATGATCGAGGACGGCTCTGGGTTGTTGATAGCGGTATACCTTACAACGCAACCCCCGAAACCCACGCTATTTTCGGAGGCGCAAAGCTGATGAGCTTCGATGAAAAAACGGGCGAGCATCTTCGAACTTATGTCATACCCGAAAAGCTACTATTAAATCGGACGGACATGAACGACCTGCGCATTAACACGACTCTTGGCGGGAAGGAGGGGTTTGCTTTCATTGCAGATGCCAGTGCGAAGAGTTCGCTTCTAACAGTCAACCTCGATGATGGCAGTGCTCTGAGGAGGTTATTCAACACCAGCATTGTTCAAGCCGACGAGAACTATGTTGGTTCTTATGCTGGTAAGCTTGTGTACACCTGGAATGGGACGGAGAAGGGCCATCTTACCACCGGGGCAGACGGAATCGCATTGGGTGAGTACTGTTAGCTCAAACTTCTCTCTACCGCTGATAACAAAAATAGCATCTGGTAACTTTTACTGGGGCGTCCTGGCATCCCGACGCTTCTACTACATCTCCCAGGAGATTCTCGTCGACCCTAACAAGACGGACGAGGAGGTCTTCGCAGCAGTACAGTATCCAGGCCAGTGCGGTTCAGAGCAGGCTGGCTTCACAGCCGACGACCGAGGACGTGTGTACATTGCTGCAAGCGAGCAAAATGCGATATACTATGTCGACACCCTCAAGTCTGAGATTAATATGACTATTAATGGTGATGCACCTGGTGGCCCTGGTCTCATTCCAGCACAGGATTATGTAGTGAATGTGCTAGCGAGGAACGCTTTGATTCAGCATGCTGACTCAATGGCTATTTTGGATGGATGGCTATACTTTAACACTAATCAGCTTATGTTGGGCCCGAAATTCAACTATAACAACGTTGATAAGAGACGCGGTCCTTTCCGGAGTTACAGGATTTGGATTGGAAGAGGACCTGCTGTTTGAAGCCGACGAAGATATTGTCGGGTATTGGGTCCGGGTCTTGAGCCCCTGGAATATGGAGACGCATTTTCCATAGGGGCGAGAAATACACAATCTGGAATCATAATTCTTTATGCTAGAAGCATGCATATCATAGCTGTCCAGTGCTGCTATATCATCTAACATATATTCTCACAGAGACCACCTTTTGTGAAACAAATGGAGCACGTTTCTTAGCTCAACTCCCTGCCTCTTACGTGGCCATTGCGGAGATTTAGATGCTATTGATAGTCTCAGTCCCCTACCAAAATTACTTGCAAAAGCGGGACAACGGCAAGGGGTGGAAATCAATAAAGATTACTTTTATTAGACACTAGGAAACGTGGTTGTAGCGGGATAGCGACAGGGATTACCAGTTATGACAATGACTACCTCCTTTGATCAACGCCCCTGGTGACTGACTTGGTTCTCTTATTTGGAAAGCAGGGGCTGCTTTTATGAATCGAGATGGCAATCGGGAATGACGTGGTAGTGCGGAAGATGGAGTGCACGAGCCTCCGTGATTCGCGACACGCGTTGGCGGAGGGCATACCCAAACCGTTTCGAGAATCGACGACGGCTTTCCACAGCCCACCAACAACCATGCCCAGGTCCAATGTCGGCATACGCATTGCAAACAAAGACAATGCTACAACCTGTTCCAGACACGCAAACACAGCTGCTACGACTAGCCACCAAACATGAAGAACCGAAGCCCCAGCTGCCCTCGAAACTCACCAGAGACTCTCTCTGCGGTCTCGGAGCCTTCAATAAGCCTTTTACGATTCGGCCGTATTCCGGATCACCGCACGCTAAGACAGTGACGTTCAAGCCCATCCGGGTGGTTGGGCGTTCTCAACTACCTCTTACATTCCTCGATACCTCTACCGACGACGACTTCGCCCCAAACAGCCTCTTCGCCGCTCATGTCGATATTTTGGAACAGGATGAACTGGAAAAAGAAGAGGATAGGGTTTTGAGGGTGCTTATTGCACAGCTGGAGACGAAGAAGAGTTTATACGCAATAGAGCGGGTAAAGGCACGCATCTACAGTATTTGCAAACTGGCAAACTGGCTGAAAGAGAAGGATGTTGCCGACTTGTGGGATCCAGCAAATTTGCATCAACTTCCTATAAGGACCAGGGTGGACACAAGCACAAGCACATCTGGGGAATGGTGGCAACATGCGGCAGTAGAGACACAGGCCGTGGAGCCGTTGATAGGACGCACCAGAATGGGTATGCTTAGACCAAAGCCCCCGCAAGTGCCTGCTGCAATGGATGTTCAGCAACTACAAGGAATGGCAGCACCGCAGGGTATGGACAGCCTGGATAGCGTACCAACAGAGTCCCTGCTTGAGCCACCAGCACCACTGCCACCACAAGAACAGCTTGACTTACTCGTGCAACAATATCTGGATGCAGTTTACATGTCCAAAACATCTCTTGCATACTTTGCCAAAGGCCCCCTCACTCGAATTCGGAATGCCTTCACCTTGGCTGAAGAAGGCGCACCTCCTACCCATGACCTTGTCGAATCCCTACGAGCCATGCTGCTGAGTCCCAAGGCCAGTGAGAAGAAGTATTATGGAAAATTACCGTCATTCATTAGGGCCATGGTGCCAGGGACCTATTCGGATGATGAGACCATGGCAGGAGCTAGCAAAGCAAAAAAGTCAAAGAAAAAGGCAAAGCTTAGTCGAGATGGCGTCTATCCACAAGAAGAGGTCCTGGTCAAGAGATGGTGGCAGTCGGAGTTACCCAGTGGTGATGCAATGGCTACGGAGACTATGGACCAGCGTATCAAGAGGCGGATTGGCGATTTGCGAGTTCGTGAGACGCTAGCGCAACTAATACTCATGCTCGAGATTATCGCACTTGAAGCAATGTCTACAAGCAAAGCTGGTGGCCAGCAGCTCACGAAAGAAGAGACGCAGGACCAAAGCGAGCAATCTGCACCGAAGAAGCGCAAGAAGAAACTAGACGACATCAACGTACAACTCGACTTGGCACTGGATAAGCTTTGCATATGGCACGCTACCGAAGAACTGGGAATTTTGGACTTTGATGCTAAGCCCTCGCAGCAAAATGAGGACGTGGATGGCACTGGCCGCAATGGATCCAGTGATCGCCTTCATAGCTTTTGTGTGGAAGTCATAATACCTTTTTACATCAACCGACTTCCTGAGCAGGCGCTAATGGTTAACAAGAAGCTCGGTGGACCAGCGCACAGCCTGCCAGCCAAGCGAAAAGCAAACAAACCACCCCTCAGCTCACGTAGATCAAGAGACTCCAAAGAACCGGATACAAAGAAATCCCGGCGATCTCTGGCACGCGTGGCTACAGACAATACAGGGAGGATTGCCGAGCGGACGACGCCATCTTTGGGCCGATCGGCTACGGATTCGGTGTTGGTCGAAGGCGTAAAAAGAGAAGCAAGCGAGACGCCTCTGTCTGCAATTCCTTTTCGTCGCAGTCCGTCGAAGGGAGCAAGACAATCCATGTCGCAGATTCGACACTTGCAGGGGCGTCAGATTGATCTGGCCGAGCCTTCGGCAGCTGCATCAGCCAAGATGAAGCAGAAGCAGCGAGTCGAGGAAGACCTGCAAGAGGCTATCCTAGCCCTAAAGAGGCCGAATCGGGGACTAGCTGCTGGCGGCTACGTTGCTGAGAAGGAGCAACGTGGTGTTGGGCAGCCGAGCAAATCCAGGAAGCCAACGGTAACGGTCAGGAAGACGATCAAGGATGTCCAGGTAACGGCAACGCCACGAGTTAGTCGCAGGACGAAGAACATGGTCGAGCAGACGCCTGTGCAGCAGCACTACGATCCGTTTGTTCGTTCACCCGGGGAGGAAGCGCCTCATTCGAGCGGCTTCTGTGTACCCTCGTCAGGCGTGCGACCACGGCCTGGGATAGTAGCAGCAAGGGACCAGGGCCATGCAACGGCTTCAAGCCTTGGGCGATCGAGCATTGCCGAGACACCAAGCAAGGCGCCAGCTGGCAAGACCTTTTCGTCGGACGCGGTACGCAGGAGAATTTTTGCGACGCCGGCAAAGGCGGCGGAGCCGAATGCGCAGGGCAGAAGGGATGAGGGGGCGTTGCACATTTTCGAGACGCCAGCCAAAGGTGTAGTAGGGATGTCACTACCGGAAGAGACTAAAGCCGCGCCGGTAGGAGCTACGACAACGCCTTCAAAGTCTGTTTCCAGGCCGGCCAGTGAGGGCAGACCAGTCCCCTTCCTAGTGCGGGGGCGTGATGATGCGAGCGAGCCATCAATCTACGATGAATTGGGCTGGAACGATGACGACGACGACGACGACAACGGGTTTGTATAGCAATGCAAGTGTTTGAGGAGATTTGTTTCTGCTGCACGTCTGGCGGGGGTACCTGCATTAGCCGGACATGGGGGAGGATGTGTGCATATGTACATGGCCATGTGTACGCACGTATGAAAGTGGTGTGTAGTACATGTGGGTATGTGGAAGTGGTGGGTCACGTGAAGGACAGTAGGTAAGTAGAGAAGCGAGGGGCGTTGATCGTGGAGCTCCGGCCCGAAAGGGAGGCGGTCCGCGTGCGCGGCCGGCAATTGTCGTCTGGTGTATATGTGTAGTCGCGGACTGCTGGAGGGCTGAATGGACGGACGGGTGGGCTTGTCGCGGTGGGCGCAAGGCGAGGCGAGGCGAGGCCATGGATGGGTGGATGGGTGGGTGGATGGATGGATGGATGGTGGGAGGCGTTGGGCGGCAGCGATGCACCCACAGCCCGCCAAATGAGCAGCAAGGGTGGCGCCAATGGGGGGAGGGTGCCTTGCAGCTTTGCACGTGCCCCTGGGAGCTTGGCCCCCGCCCACGACGAATCACACGAATCATCCTCATCATCCTCGCCGGCTGAGGGGGGACGCAACCGTGCAATTTGGCCGGGGAATCAACCTACTGCTAACCCCTAGCATGCTCCCCCTAAACATGTCTCCAGGCGTAGACTGGCCCATGCCGCAAACCGTCCACAGCCCTAATCACGCTGACATTATGAAAATCAAGCCCAGGCGCCCAGCATCTTCCGCTTCTCGAGTCCTGTCCCACTTGCTCAACCACTGCCTTTGATTCGCGTCTCGTCTCGCGCTCAAAGAAAAAAAATAACGTTGCCTTCCCCCCTCCCTCCCCTCCCCGTCCGCTCGACGAACATGTTCAGCAGCACCGCAGCCAAGCCAAGGTAACAGCCCGTCCGCCCCCCCTGCACCCACTCATGGCCGTCACTGCAGCCTCCCGTCCTGCTCCCCCCAGGGGACAGCGCTCCCCGACGCTCAGCGATGCGGGCATGATCCTGCCCGCCCTCGAGGCCGACTACGAGCGCGCGACCTCGCCCATTCCCTTGATTGAGCGTCCGCCTTCGCCATCCGACCTCTACCGACATGCCGACTCGAGTCCTCGCCGATTAAGTTCAGGACTCCACAGCCGGCGCCGCGCCTCGCAACAAATAAGTTTCCCGTCACTATCAGCACAGTCCTCGCTTTCCGCACAGTCCTCGCGCTCGACACTTCGCAACGCAGCCGATTCAGTCGCCTCCTCCAGGAGCATGACTACTCGTGATCTCATTCTGGCCTCGTCGCCTACCATCCACACTGCTCCCAGCAGCCACTCGCCCGGCAGTTGGCGCGGCCACGACCAGCGCAAAGTCAGTCCCTCGTCCAGCTCAATCTTCACCGAGGATCTCGACCACTGGCCCGGCTTCGACAGCCACGACAACTTCGACGACAGCGGCGTGGATCTCGAAGAGCAGGAGAGACGACACCGCTCAAAGACTGACACCGACACTGGCGACGCCATGACAGCCAATATCAGTGACGACGAAGACGATCCCTATTCGTCAGCAGCGCTCAGCAGAAGGGCAGAGATCATCCTGGCTAATGCCAAAAAGAGGTTGAATGTACGCCTTGTTCCCAACTTATGCTATTTTGCATCCCAATGGAGCCAATGCTTATCATAACAGGTCATGGAGGGAAATCTTCGGGGTGCCCGAGAGTCATTGGTCACCTCACCCACCTTCAGTCCCAAAGGCGGCTTGTCTTCTGACCTTTCACACCATATGGCAGCCAGCCGCGAGCGTGACCGACGACTTTATGCCGGCATGGGACCGATCCCTCCGCGCCTTTCTTCCTACCGACAGTCGCTACTCACTCCCAATGGCAGCACTGGCCATTCGCGCAACCTAAGTGAAACATCAGTGCCGCTTCCCTTTACTCCCTCGTACGTGTCGAGAGCCTCGTCGATCAAACGAGCCTCCAGTGCATTCGGTCATACCAGCGGTCCATGGGCGCCGGAGAGCTATGGTCAGGGGCGATTTCCCATTAAAGAATCCCGAAGCGTAGACCAACTTCGCGATGCACGTAATACGTGGAACACCTCGGAACGCGAGCAGGCTGTACGATCTGCTTCGAGAAGCTCTAAATCTCCGCCTGTGCTAGAAACCCTACGCGAGGACGAAGACGGAGCCAGGATACACCGATCTACATCCGCAGCCAGTGGCCTTCGTGACCAGATGAACGATCTCAGGGGTAGAATCTCGAGTCTGAAGCTGAAGGCACAAGAAGATCACCTCCGGCGGCGCAGTATACAGAGTCTACGTGCACCTAGCCCCTTTACCTCGGCCGACACATGGTATCCGTCATCAAATACATATCGACCTGAAAGCCCCATTACTGGAGCTACTGGGCTGGGCATCACGACTTCACCGCACACTCGGACTGGGCTCTATCCCGAAGTCCAGGACCGGCCATTGACTGCTACCACTACAACCTCGCAGTTGCACGGAGAGAAACTGGTGACACAGTACAAAGACCAGCCCGCGACTACCAGAAGCAATGGGTACTCTGGCCGTTCGTACGAAGAAGCCGAGGTCGATTCTGGAGAGTCTGAGGCATATGAACGGTCCGAGGTGGATGATAGTGACTTTGTCTCAGTCTATGGTGAGGACGGGATGGCGGACCCAGAGAGCGTATACGAGGATGCGGTGTATGAGATGCCTACGACGGAGCGACACGAGGACCGAGTGGATGCGTTCGACTACGAGACCTTCTTCCTGCACAGTGCCATGGGAACGTACAGTCTGGGAGACCGTCGGTCGAGCACAAGTTCGGGTACCTCAGTAGCCACGACGCGACCGATGACGGCTGTTCAGACTGGCGAGGACCAAAGCAAAGCTGAAAAGCGAGTATCGTTTCACCAACGGAACCCAAGCGCCGACTCGGTATCGACGGTGGCCACATTTGCTACTGCAGCCGAAGAGCAAGATGACGACGATGAGGATGCGAACGAGCAGATGGATCAGTTCTCGCAGCAGATAATGTCTGGTCAATCACGGTTGCTCTCTCAGCATATTGGTCGCAACAGCTATTTGTCGCTCCGGTCCGACTCGGCGATCAACATGCGCAGCAGCGGCATCTCGCCTCCTCAGTCGTCACTATCTCGCGGCTCGCCTTCACCAGCCGAGTTTGCCAGTGGCCTGCAAACGTCCAAGCTCTTCTCCATCTTGACGGAAAATTCAAGAGACGAGCCGCGGATTGCGCTCAGCGACGAAGAGACACAGCTGGTGTACGGCGTTGCTGCAGGCATCCAACACGTATGCTCGCAGCTGCAGAGCACGTACGGCGAGGCGTACGAGCGCAAGGCATGGCGACGAAGACTTGACGAAGCGCGCAAGATTCTCATGGGCGAGGACCTGGAAGACGGCCAAACTTGTTGAGAGCAGGCGCCTCCACTTACTTAAATCTCCTTTTGTGTTTCCAAACTACATGGTAATGTCTAACTTGGATGTTGCGACTTAGCGTAAGGTCGGACCCTGTCCCCCACGAGCCCCTCTGGATATCACGTATAATCTCGTCGACATGTTTTTGTGGTCGTCGTATGTCTTGCTTTTAGCGTTGCCGATACTCTTTTCCTTCTCCGTCTCTATTTTTTTTGATTCTCTTTCATTCTCCTCTTTGGCTTGATTCTTATTCTTCTTTTCTCTTTTTCTTCTTCTTCTTTTACAACATGCTTTGGCCGATTTGCCTGCATCTCCTTTGAGAGGTCACGACTCTAGATGGTTTCTTTCCTTTGTGTATTGATACCCCGAGGCGGGCGCGGGGTCACGAGCTCCGGTGTAGGTGGGCATGGATTTTTTTCTCTTCTTGGTCTGCGTTTGGGGCTGTGAGTAAGCTCTAGAGCTGGTAGCTCGTCACGGGGAGCTCTAGAAGGCGGACACACGGCTGTCATGCATGCACGTAGGGCTACCAAACCAATCTAAAAAATGCTCTACTGTTCCCCCAGCGCATTGGGCTTGACCGTGATTGCAGGCTAGGCCGCGATCAGAAGTGATCAGAAGGCTGAGGAACGATGGCGTGGAGCTGGTGACGAAGGCAGGCGGCCTTCTAGTGTGCGGTTGCCGCCCCACCAAACGGAGCCAAGAAGTCGTCATGCTGGGCCGAGTGCGAGCGAGGGGCGGGAAGACATTGCTCTACATATGCAGCGTCCGGCCGGCAGTGCGTTGTCGATGTACACCTGGTGTAGAGTGGCGGTAACACGGGGCCAGCCATAGCAGCCAGACGGGCGCGCGGCATGCACGCGTGGCAGACGTGCAGCTTGTGCCGCGGTCGGCGAAGGATGTTGGCGGGGTGGTTGGATTGGGTGAGGTCTTGGAGGGGGGCGGGTGTACTAGACCATGTCGAGGGGACTGGCGGTGTAGCGCAACAGATGGGATGGAAGCTTGCCAGCATCATCCAATACCCACATCGCCCTCCGCAATTGGCCCACACGGCCAAGATGCATGGCTGGGAGTCGTGCTCGCACTCGACAGTAAGTAACTGCTGCGCGCACCGGCCGCCTCCAAACACACGCACGCATACGCACACGCACGCGCAGAGTCTTGCTCGACCCATCTCCTCCATGGCGGCCTGCACTACACCCTGGGCCTGACCCGCCCGATTTTCTTTCACGAGCCGAATAACTTGGCCTCTGCCGCCCGCATCGCGCATCGCATCGCGCGCATCATCCTTTCCCTGCATCCGCCCAAACTAACCCACTCACTTTTCTCGTGATACTACCTGGCCCCCTCAATTCCCCCCCGGGCCCCCTCTTATACACACATACTGCTACATACAAACACTCGCACCCACCCACCCACATACACACACACCCAGATCCGACCCCTCATTTTTGGATTTTTCCGCCTGCTGGCCCGGGCGCGTGTGTGTGTGTGTGACGAGGTGGATGAAACGCTCCGCAACCTCCAACAGGCTTGGTGCGCCCAGCCGAGGGGAGGCCATTCGACGCCGATAGCGATTGGCGTTTGCGGAAACACATCCTACACCCACCACACAGTCCTTGTGACCACTCGCGACGCCTGTTCCCCTGCTTTTTTGCCTCTGCCGCGCTACATCTCTGCCCGCCCGTCGCGTACCTCTTGGACTGTTCATGCTCGCTGCCTGTGCTCTGCGCCCGTCTGCACAGCCATACTCGCCTTGTTGAGGCCCGGCCGTGTTTACATACAGGCCTAGGGTGGGATTGCCCTGGCTACCACCGTTCCCTACTTGCGACTACTATTTCCAAATACCACTATTACCACTACTAAAACTGGGCGCAGCGAGCCCCTGCAGCAGCATAATCACCAGCAGAGTCACGCTGCATCCTGCCTGCCTCCGCCTCCTCCATAGCAACACTCGCCGCTTTCGCCCTCGTCCTCCTGCCGCTCGCCTCTTGCGGTCTCGCACAAGCTCTCATGTGCTTACCTCCGCCGTGCTCCTCCCACTTGCGCCTCTCATACTCGCATAATGTCTCCTATCAGCTCTCGTCGCGCCGTCGCCGTCGCGCCACCCGCAAAACAAAAGACCCTGCCGCTTTCGAGGATTGGATCGGCTGAACATTTTTGGGGCGGGAAGAGCGAACTCTTGGAAGTAGAAAATGCTTGGCCCACAAGCATCTACAGCGCTGGGGACATGACATCATGCGAGTCTGGAAATGACCGTCGCATGGGCGAATTGATAGACGATTTGGAGTTTGCGCTCGATAGACGGCACACCCGCGACTCTGACGATAGAAAATCAAGACGCAGCGATCTCTCGGTATGGCGAAATTGCTTTGTTTGGTCCTTTTATCCACGTGTTTTTGGTCCCAAATCACTACCACTTCACAACCTCCTCCAACCTTACTGAACAAATCCTCACCTTCGTTACTACATTGCGCTTTATTATCTGACACTTTTTTTTTAGTGGCCCGACCTCGCGACCCTGCTGTCCGACCTTCTATCCTCCGCTCCTGCGTCCGCACCAGAACCATGGAACCAACTACCGCCAATCTCTCAACCCCCACCACCTTCGTACAACGAATCTGCCGCAGACCTACCTCCAGAATACACCTCCGCCAACGCGCTCGCCGTTGCGCAAATACCTGAATACTCTCCCTTTTCCTCCCTCGACGCTTTACTATGCCTCACCGCTTCCACACGTCCACGCACAAGCAAGAAGCGCCTACCTGGCTCTTCCGCCTTCCGCCTAGACGCGAAATCACCACACATAGACATTGATTTTGGACACTGCGATACTGGCATTAGGTCACACGCAAAGAAGAAGAACAACAAGACTACAGCGAAGAAACCCGCGGCCGCTCCCGTTGACGACGGGAAAAAGGACGAGGAACCTGCCGGCGGCGACAACGGCGGTGATCCACCCGCGGACGGTGGGTCTGCTGGTGGAGACGGTGGAGATGGAGGCGATGGAGACAAGGGCAAGAAGAAATCGAAAAAGCAGAGAGAGGAAGAGGAGAAACTGAAGAAGGAAGAAGAGGAGCGCCTCAAGCAGGAGGAGGAGGAACGCCTGCAGAAAGAGGAAGAGGAGCGCCTGGTAAGGGAAGCCGAAGAGGAAGCCGAGCGCAAGAAGAAGGAGGAAGAGGATGCAGCCGCAGCCGCAGCCGCAGCTGCTGCTGCTGCCACCGCAACGACCATCTCGGTGACAAAGGCGGCAGCTGACCTAAGCTGGACGAATCCAAGCCAGAACACGGATGACTGGGCCTCGTTCGGTGCTGCCGCCGGCAAGAAGAAGAAGATCAAAAAGGGGAAGGTTCGCGTTGTCCCGGCTCCTTTAATTATATGTCGCGTGGCGCTAACTCACGATAGACTGCCGAGGCCGCACCCCCGCCTCCTCCTGAACCACCAGCAGGGCCACCGACAACATTCGACGACATCAGCCTTGACGAAGGAAGCGCACCGAAAATTGACATGAATAATAGCGATACTAGCGCAACAAAATCTGGATTCGGACTTCCTGGACTAAGCAGTTGGGCTTCTGGTTGGGGCTCATCAAACAAATCATCTGGCTGGGGCGGACTTATTGACAGCGGAAAGAACTCTACCGCAGACTCTGACAGCCCTTGGGGATCCTTGGACAAGAAGAAGAAAAAGGACTCAAACGGATTCGACTTCGACTTTGGTGGTCTCAAAGCTTCCGCTCCCGCCGAAGAGAAACCCGCCGAGGACGATGGCTGGGGCATTGATTCCGGCGCGAAGTCTAAGAAAAAGACCAAGAAAGGGATCTTGATCGAGGAGACCGTGCCCGAGGAGCCAGCTCCAGAACCTGTCAAGGAGGATGATCCATGGGGTGGTGGATGGGATGGAGCTGCTGCTGGAGTGAAGAAGAAGAAAGGTAAGAAAGGAGCAAAGGATGAGCTGCCGCCGCCCCCTCCCCCAGAGCCTGAACCAGAACCAGAGCCTGCTCCAGCTGAACCTGAGCCGGAGCCTCCGAAGCCCGAAGCGCCTGCTGTTGATCCATATGCCGGCCTCAGCAAGTCTCAGGCGAAAAAGCTCAAAATTAAGCTTGAGAAAGAGGCTAAAGAGGCCAAGCTGAAGGAGGAGGAGGCGGCGGCTCAGCGGCTCAAAGAAGAGGAAGAGGCCGCTGAGCTCCAGCGTCAAGAAGAAGAGGAAGCAGAGCAGAGACGGATAGAAGAGGAAGAGGCCGAGCTGAAGAGGATGGAGGAAGAAGCTGCAGCCGCAGCCGAGGCCGAGAAGAAGAAAAAGGATGAAGAATCCTGGGGTGATTGGGGTGGTGTAGCACCGACCACAAAGAAGAAGAAGAAGGTCAGGAAAGGAGTAGAGGAAGAGCTCCCGCCGCCTCCACCGCCACCTCCACCGCCGCCTCCTGAGCCTGAATTCTTGGAACCTCCACCTGCAGACGCGAAGCCTACCGATGGTTGGGATGATTGGGGTTCAGCAGCAGCACCTGTAGTCAAAAAGACCAAGAAAGGTAAGAAGGGTGCTGCTGTCATCATCGAAGAGCCTCCTCCAGCCGAACCTGAGCCTATCCCAGAACCCGAGCCAGCTCCGCCGCTAGAAGAAGAGAAGGGTTCTGATTGGGGCCTGAGCTCGATATGGGGTGGATCAAAGAAAAAGAAGAAGAGCAGCAAATCAGTTGAACTAGAGACACTTCCAGAACCTGAGCCAGTTGAAGAAGCACCGCCCATCCAGGAACCTGAAGACGTCGAGGAACCTGAGGACAATGAGGATGACTGGGGTGCGCCATCTTGGAGCAAGAGAAAGAAGAAAGACCCCAAGAAGGATGTTCCGGTCGAGGTACTTGAGGACACTACGACACCTGTTCAAAAGCCTGACGAAGAGGATCCCTGGGGAAGCGCTGCCTTCAACATTGGCAAGAAGACCAAGAAGGGCAAAAAGGGTCTTATACCGCCAAATGTGCCAACACCCCCAGGAGAGTTCGAGCCCGAGCTTCCGCCGCTTAAAGAGATCGAAGCGCCTCCACCCGCGGAGGAAGAGGATGTCTGGGGGGGTCTTACTACTACCGGCTCCAAGAAGAAGAAGAAAAAGGGCGAGGTTGTGGAGGTTGCCCCGACTGATACTTTTGAGGATCTAATCTCGCTCGACGATCCACCGCCTGCCGAGGAACCTGTAGTGGTAGAGGCACCGGTTGAGGAGAAGAAGAAGAGCAAGAAGGACAAGGAAAGCAAGTCCAGCAGCATGTGGAGCTCTCTGGGTGCTTCAACTAAGCCGCCTAAGAAGGAAACTACTCTCGAAAGACGAGCTCGCGAAAAACGCGAAAAGAAAGAACGCGAAGAGCAGGAACGATTAGAGAGGGAGGCGGCTGAGAAAGAAGAGGAAGAGCGTCTTGCACGAGAAGCCGAAGAAGCGGACGAAGAAGCAGCTCGGATCGCGGCAGAAGAGGACGAAGCAGAGGCTGCACGTATCGCAGCAGAAGAGGCTGAGGCCGAAGCTGCACGCATTGCAGCTGAAGAAGCCGAGGCAGAAGCAGCTAGAATTGCGGCGGAGGAGGCCGAGGCGGCTCGAATTGCAGCAGAGGAGGCCGAAGCAGCACGTGTAGCGGCAGAGGAGGAAGAGAGAAGGAGAAAGAAGAAGCAAGAGGAGGAATCTGCAGGATCGAAGCTTGTTGGGTGGGGCGCTAGTATCTGGGGATCCTCGAAGAAGAAGGAGAGCACAAAAGAGCGAAGGGCCCGGGAAAAGAAAGAGGAGCAAGAGCGCCTAGAGAAAGAAGCTGCCGAGCAAGCGGAGAGGGAACGCCTTGAACGCGAGGAGCAAGAACGTCTTGAGGCTGAAGAAGCCGCGCGTATTGCTGCTGCCGAGGAGGAGGCGCGATTGGAACGCGAAGCTGCTGAGGCGGCCGAGAGAGCTCAAAGGGAAGCTGAAGAAGCTGCAGCCAGGGCCAGAGAGGAAGCAGAGGCAAATTCTGGCTGGGGTCTGTTCGGGCTATCCAAGAAGAAGGAGACTACCAGACAGAGGCGCGAGCGCGAGGCTAGAGAAAAGGCAGCACTTGAAGAACAAGAAAGACTAGAAGCCGAGGCAGAAGCTGCACGCCTTGCAGCTGAAGAAGCTGAGGCAGAAGCGGCTAGAATTGCGGCAGAGGAGGCTGAAGCTGAGGCAGCTCGTCTTGCTGCTGAGCAGGAAGTTGTTCCTGAACCCGAGCCCGTGGTTATTTCTTCTAAGGAAAAGAAGAAGAAGAAGCGAGGTGTTGTCGAGGAAGCTCCTCCTCCACCACCACCACCACCACCACCACCTCCGCCGCCCCCTGAAGAACCCGCAGAACCTGCAAACGACGATGAGTTGTTTGACCTCGTCAAAGATGCTGACCCGAACGAACTTTTGGCTGAGCTTGAGAAGCCCACCAGAAGGGAACAAAAGGCAGCTGCAGGTGGATGGGGCAGCGCTTGGGGTATCTCCCTTCGCAGAAGCGTGATCGATCCTATCACGGATATGCCTGTAAAACCTGAGCCGGAACCCGAACCAGAGCAAGAGCCAGAACCTGAGCCAGAACCCGAGCCAATTGTGGAAGAACCAGAACCAGAACCAGAACCAGAACCCGAGCCTGTGATCGTTGAAGAGGCGCCTCCAAAGAAGCTGTCCAAGGAAGAACGAAAACTGCTGAAAAAATCCAAGAAAAGTCGACATGCTGTGCCAGAGCCAGAGCCGGTGCCAGAGCCTATACCTGAAGAACCAGAGCCGGAGCCGGAGCCGGAGCCGGAGCCTGAACCTCCAGCGGTCGAGGTTATTGAGGTGCCGCCAAAGAAACTCTCCAAAGAAGAGAGAAAACTTCTTAAGAAGTCCAAACGGTCAAAGATGGAGGAAGCCCCTCTGGTCATTCCTGAACCCGAACCCGAGCCTATCGAAGTACCTGAGGAAAGGTCACCTGCACCAGGAGCATTCCCTGACGATGATGGAGACTTCATGGAATTTGTTGATGCGCCGCCACCTCCAGAACCTGAGGAGCCGGAGCCCGAACCTGAGCCCGAACCTGAACCTGAACCTGTGCATGTACCTCTTGTCCTGCAGGAGCTCAAGAAGCTTAAGAAGTCCAAGAAGGGTACCAAGTCAAGAGGGTGGTCCATCGACGAAACTCCTCCACCTCCTCCACCGCCACCAGTTCTGGAGGAGCCAGAGCCAGAGCCAGAACCTGAGCCGATTGTTGAAGAGGAACCTGAGCCTGAGCCTGAGCCTGAACCGGAACCTGAACCTGAACCTGTTGTTGTGGTCTCTGAAAGAAAACACAAAAAATCCAAGAAGAGCAGCAGGAGCAAGGCACCACCACCTCCGCCAGAACCAGAACCAGAACCTGAGCCTGAACTGGAACCAGAGCCGGAACCAGAGCCGGAACCAGAGCCAGAACCAGAGCCAGAGCCAGAGCCAGAAGCTGAAATTGAAGAAGTGCCCGAGGACCCAGAGATAATCGACCATGAAGATGCCGCTTCAGCAGATGAAGATGACGCGCCTGCCAAACTGCCCACTCCTCCTCCTGAACCATTACCTGAACCCAAGGCAAATTCTCCCAAGAAGGAGCGCAACAGAGTCCGTAGTGGAACTACCTCTGGGGGTTGGGGTGGTATGTTCGGAGCTTCCAAGTCAAAGAACAAGACAAGATCTGGTGCTGAGGATGGTGTCACCAGGCCTGAAGCGACACGTACAAAATCACACCGGCGAACATCAGAATCCAGAGACAACGATATCAAATCACGGTCCTCTGGGTCTGACAAGGCGCATGCAGCCAGACCAACAGTGTCACGTTCCAAGACTGCCCGGGTTTCTACAGGCCTCGGTGGCATGTTTGGTGTTGGGCCGCCCCCACCATCACGCTCCAAGTCACATCGCACCTCAGGCCTGAAAACATCGTCGCGCCGACCTTCTGTTGACCAGGACGCCGCTATGATGTCGCCACCACAAACCGATACTGATGCGAAGGTGTCTTCCAAGGCAGCTCGGCTTATGGGCGAGCAGGGTTCGTCCCGCAGAGCCAGTAATAGGGATTCCAGAGACAAGGGCAGAAGTCGAGGTAAGCCGCTCCCCGCTAACCACAGTGCATCTCTCATTGGCTGGCCTGGTCATACGCAAGCACACGAAGCTAATTGCCTGCTTGCTGTTCTAGACCCATATCCTTTGGACGATGAGAACGAAGTTGATGATGAATCTCCTCCCCCGGCTTCCCGACCAGAGTATCCACGTCGCAAATCTAAGCGCGATTCGGCACAACCACTCGAACCCATGAGTGCATCACCTAGCGCAGACGACCCTATCGTTGTTGACCCAATGGAGGCGGACCCTGTACCAGTCGAGGCTGAGCGGCCCCGTCGTGAACGGGACCGTGAGCGACCTCGTCGCGCGCGAGGCAACTCAGATGCCATCAACACACTTGCTGGTGTCGCGGGTACTGCTGCTGCTGTGAAAGGCTTCAAGGGTATGTTTGGACTTGGGCGCAAGAAGGCAGCGGCGCCTGAAGAGGCACCTCGTGAACGCCGCCGCACCGCCTACGAGACCGAGGACGAGCGCAGGCATCGCAAGCGATCCACAACACGCGGCGCAGTGACAGATGATGAAGCCAAACGACTGCGACACGAGCGGCGCAGTTTGCGCAATCCGCGCGCCCAGGATCCTGAAGAAGTTATGATGTCTGGTGCTAATGGCGGCGGCAACGGCAGCGCCGATTATGATGCCGAACGAGAGGCAAGACGAGCTGAACGTAGGGCGAAACGCGATGCAGAGAAAGAAGCTCGTCGTGCCGAACTTGAAGAAGCAGAGGCTAAGGCTGAGCGGCGCCGTGAGCGCGAGCGTGAAAACGAGCGTGCGACGCTTGCAGAGAAGAAGGCTCGGCAAATGGCCGAGTTGGAACGTCGCAACAAAGAAGCAGAGGAACAACTGCGTCGCATAGCGGAGAAGGAAGAACGGCGAAAGGCACGAGGCGACCGCAAGCCGACTGATGAGCGGGATCGCGAAAGGCGTTCATCGCGTCGCAAAGACAAGGCCCGCGAAGAAGAGCGTCCAAAGTCCGAACGTCGGCGGACATACATTGACGAGGACGAAGAACGTCGCCGTCGTCACGAAGAACGCCGTGCTGCCAGGCGTCACTCCGAATACCCAGTACAAGCTAGTGGGGAGCCCATCACCGACTACTTTGACGAGCGCAACGGCGTCGCCAACCGAACCAAGCACCGCAGTTCTCGTCAGGCACGGGAAGAAGAAAACATGCCGTACATGAACAACAAGAGCGGCGACAAAACATCGTCATGGGTCGATTCTCTATCCAACGAGCCACCGCTACCTCCCCCCATCTCCGAGACCGTACTCGACCCCGCGCCCGGCGCCAACAACGATGACGACGACGAAGAAACCCAATCCCAAGACGAAGACATCCGCCTGCGCATCGCGGGCCGCCGCGGACCCAAGCGCGACAAGGAGCGTGCCGAGCGTCGCAAAGCCGAAGAAAAAGAGCGCGAGCGCGAGCGCACATATAAGCACAGCCGTCGCGCCAGCAACTACGAGACTATGAAGCCCATGGATGACGAACGCGATCGCAAGAGGAACGCTAGACGCACGAGCTATGCGCCTGCATACGAAGAGCCGCCCGTTAGGACGTGGGATGGTAGACCCGCGGTAGAGGGTGGGGCACCAGCGCCGGCTGTCAAGAGGGGAAGCTGGTTCAAGAAGATTGCTGGTTTCTAAAGAAGAAGAAGCAGAAGAAGCGAAATCATGTGGGAGTTGGGGAGTCAAGCAAGTTTTTTTGTTTTGCTACATACTTTTTGCTTTTCCAGGGGATTCGCTCTGCTTTTCCCTCACTCCTCCTTCTTCCTTCTCCCTTTCGACTTTTCGGATTTTTTCCACGAATTTGTTGGCGGTGGGTTTTTTTTTCTTAATTTCTGCGCAAACGAAACGTGTGCATGCCACGAAATGTCGGTTTAACGTTTTTGTTATTGCTTTCTGTTTTCCTTGTTTGGATTACACGATGGGGAGGATTCTGGAAGTACTATGCGATGATGATGATGCATTGCGTGGGCGTTTACTCTTTTTTTTTGATCGATTTCTTCCCCTTCTTCATTCTTTTTTTTTTCTTGAGAAGAACCTTTTTGTCTTAATAGCTTATTAACTGTACCTTTTTTGCTACTTCTTTACCTCACTCTCACTCTTTAATGGATTACAATATATATATATACTGCACGTTCTACTCTTTTTTTTTCCTTCTGCCTCTTTTGTTCGACTGTGTATCAACGTTCGCTTGGATCTCGGCGGTGGTTATGTACTTGGTATATACATAGGTCTGGGATGGGCTGGTTCCAATCTTGGATCAAGAAAGATGAGAAAAGAGGGAGAGAGAGAGAGATTGATATTCACTGTGCTTCTCTGCTATAGCAAATCATATTCAATATCACTTGGCCCAACCTATCGTCTCCATCACACTGCCCATGTGTATTGCACTTAAATCTGCTTCAGAAAAACGGTAGAATTTGAATTACTTTGATCGTTTCGGGTTGTTGGTATCTCAGATACCCATAGTTAACCCCAGCCATGACGCCCTTATCGCCGAATCCATGCTAGTCTTGGGCATTTTGCATATGCTCCAAACCCGATTCATAGCCTGCCCTGTCCATGATGAGCAACTAGTAGATCCATGCTCTATCGTGTATTGCTTTGTTCGGTCTGTACGTCTTGTGTGAAGGAAAAAAGAAGGCCGTTACAGGCCCATTTGTCACAGCTGTGCAGCCGCACCTTGAACACCCTCCTGGAGCTCCATGTCATCGTCGTCATCGTCGTCTTCCAATTCCTCGTCCTCTTCCTCGAACCCGGTTTCCATCTTCAGCGCCTTCAGTCTATCCTTCATTTCCTCCTTTTTGTCTGATTGCCAACGTGCCAGCGCTGCTGCCGAATGCACCTTGAAGCCGAAGACGCGGGGCTCGTATCGTCGCTGTGTTTTGGGGGGAAGCATCGCGGGGTAGACTTGGAACAAGATGTTGTGGAACGAGGTGCCAAAGTATGCGCCATCGATAATGGCATGGCGCGAGGACTTTGGATTGTAGAGGTCTTCGCAGCGAGCGCAGTAAAGCTTTACGGGCGAGGCATTGGGCACGTCGGATTGACCCATGGGAAGGAGGGGTTGTGATTCGCACATTACGCGTGGGCATTTGCCAAAGTCGGACTTTTTGAACTTCTCGAGCTATGGCATTTCGTTAGTATAAGCGCTGAACTGGAGCATGACATGTGTCCGCAGACAAGACACGTACCATCTTTGCCAGACCTCTAGTCGTGACAATGTACCTCGCGTGCACTAGACCGTACAGATGCCGCGCCGATTTCTCAATCTGTTCCCGCATATCGTCGTCGCAGTCGAAGTCGAAGACATCGGTTACAAGATCCAGCGCATATTGGTAGTATTGGACCTCGGTATTCAGACCCGTGAGGTTGAAGCGGTCGGTAAGGTATTCTTCGTCAATCTCGCAAAAATACTCGTTTCCTCGTGAGGATATAAACTACGCAGGGCGTTAGTTTGTGTCTGAACACATCTGTATTGCCTCTACATCTCTACGATTCCGCCAATAATCCAGCCACCAGCGAGACCTAAGCAGCATGAGCGGGTCCCAGTCGACCCAAAAGAAGTCGTTGTTGAAGTCGTCAATAGGGTGAAGGCACTGGTATGCTGCAAGGTAGCCCTTGAAGGCGCAAGGGTTACTGGTATATGATCAGACGTGACCTCGCAGTGAAGGACAAGCGAATGAGCCATACCATGCAAGCAGCACCTTTTTGGGCCACCCATACATGTACAGAATAGTCATGTCTGGTGGTGTATATCATGCTACACAAGCAATACAAGAGGCGAAAGTAAGGAGTGAGTCCATGTACCTACCCAATCTCGCCAATAGCTTGTATAGTCGCTGTCCGTCTCGCTGTTGAAGTCGTCCATGGTGCGCTTGCTGTCGGCGGGCTGCCTAAAGGGGAGTGACGGTGCTGGTGAGTGTTGTTTGTAGGGTGCGACCACCAACGAGGTGGGGCAGTGCGATCGGGCGCGAACACGAACACGGGTCGGGACGCGGTGACGAGTGAATTGCGCGCCGACCTAGTGGGATGGGAGTTGCATGTGCATCCCACTCTGAATCTTTGTTTCTCCGCTCCGGTCACGCTAGTCGTCTCGACTCGACCCCTAAGCGACCCCTAAGCGACCCCGGACTCGCCCCACCCGGCTTGAAGCCGCGGCAATTGCGTGCGATCCCTCCCTTGTTCGGACGTACAGGACCCGTCTGAACATTGTGCACAAACTGAGGAGTTTATGATTGAATCGTGTCTAATCTAGATATCTCTAAATTGGTCTTTCTCTCTCTCTCTCTCTCTCTCTCAACCATAGAGTGCTCACTATGTGCTCAGATTACCTGGCGCCCGGGTAATAGCCAGTACGGTTAGCTTCATTCACCACAAGTTTGACAACTAGCATGCAATTCATAGTGGTGGAGTCTTGAAGTTGACCAAGTCTGAAGACATCTAAGAGCAGTGCCTTCCTGTCACCCATCAGTTGCACTCATGTGCGGTCTCTAATCAGTCCCACTTGAGATGATCAATCGCTCTCCGGATATGTTGCGCCCCCAAAGCCTCACAGCCTTGTGAAACCTGACACTCTTCTCTTCCACCATGCAACTGTATCATTTCATCAACACAAGAGTGTCGGTCATTGTGCCACTCCTCTTGTCTCATTTCGCTCTTCTTCACTAAGTCTAGCAATGGCCATGGATTGCTTCCTCTTCCGTACACTTCTGTCTTGAGCGCGGTCTTGACTAGACGCCGCCAGTCCTTGGGTTCCAATTCAATATTGAAGCCCATTGGGCAGTCTGCGGTTCCCGTATGTAGATGGGACAAAGCAGGATTGTTGTCACCAATCCGATATGGCTTTTTCTCACCGGCTTCTTCCAGGCGGGCAGCTTCGCGATCGACTTCTAACAGTACCTTGGAAAAGCGTTGAACTATTGCTTTCATCAAAGAAACGATGGACTGGACATTTTGTATGGCGCTGAAGGGCTCCTTGGGACACTGTGGACAGCTGATTATGTTGGCCAGTGCAGACATGGCATTTCTCAAGGGTATGACGACTTGGGGAAAGTCGAAGGTTGTGACAGCTTGTAGCTCGGTAAGTACCATCCACGTTGTTGTGATGCAGGTACATGGCCCTGCAATGTGCTGGTTTGATAAGGGTTCATCGATGTTGTTGGTTAACATATCAGGTTGCAGTTCCCACAGTGATGGGTCAATTGCCGGCTCCAAGTGAGACCTGGGCTTCTTTAGTGTGTTGTTGGGTCCTTAGACAGAAGGCACATACGTGAAGTTGGACCCAGGTGATACTCCCAACGGGTCAGGGAGACTGAGATCGAATCGCCCCGGCGTCAGAGCCTCATGTCCTGAGAACTCGTTTGAAGAGTAAATGTCTTGGACGAGCGGTGGGGAAATCAAGCCATCAAAATCAGGACAGTTTGGCATGTCGGAAAACCCGGTCAAAACGTTGGTGTTTCCATCCGGCCCTTGGACGAATATGGCAGATTCGTCTGCCTCGCCTTCTTTCCTCCTCTTCCTAGGTCGGCCCATCTGTTTCTGAGGCGAGTAAACGCAACCTATCTGTTCTCTTTTGCAACGAAGGCATTTTGGCGTGTCACCAGAGCATTTCAGCTTTCGCGTCCCTGGGTGGTGTTGAGAAGCGTAAGGCTAATGTGGGAGCCTAGCTCGAGGTACTCACTGCACTCATCGCAAGCCGCGTGTAGCTTTTCCACTGCTCGCACCAACCCTTGGCCTGGCGGCATGATGCGACCTTACGGAGGGTTACTCGGAGATAAATGACGGCTTCCCCAAAAGGAGACTGGCTCAGTGCCGACGTGTATTGTAGTTCTGAGTCTTAGCCGCTACATGCCAAGGCAAGGTAAGGTAAGCTTTCATGATGTGGAGACGCAATATTTCCATGCACTCTCACGTGCAGATGGCTGCAACGGACGCAGGAAGACATGCGCCCCACTTAATGACGGCATGTAGATTGCATGCTGTCTATCTGCACGACGAGCGTTGGGTAGCGCTCATGTGTCCATGAACGAAGGGGATACTAAGAAAGCGAGGCAAGTGTGGCGATGTAACCAAAGGGTTCCTCATCAAACATGATCATGCGGGGGACAAGAGGCCTTGAGCGCTCTTGGGGAGCTAAGTCGTGGAGTCGAATTGCTTGTGGGGATCCGCGGCCGTGGAGGACCTGGGCAGTGCATTTGCATTCAGGGGCGAGGTGAAGTGGGGTTTTGCTGTTCAATACTACAGATTGCCGTCGGCCGGTGAGGCAGGTTACGGATAGAGGGGACAGACAACACAGCGCGTGAAGCGAGGGTAGTGGTGGTGGCAGTGGCAGTGGCAGCAGTGGTGGTGGTGGCAGGGTGAACCAGTCGCAAATGGCAGCCAGCATGTGACAGGGATGCCGCTGAGCCGCTTATCTGTATTGGAGCGGCTGAATACGGGGTCTACGTATCGATAAGAGGCCCGAGTTGCCGTGCCGACATTCCATTCGCAGGCCAACTGCGTACGTAAGGACATTTGATCCGACGAGTTGGATGTCCAGGCCAGCAAACATAGTTTCACCTTTGTGTTCACCGCTCTTGAAACAAGTGCAGGCTGCTTCCCCGCTGCACCGGGTCCTCCAATTGCGCAGAAATGCGCCTGGGCACGCGCTGAAGCCTGGACAGACGACTCCAATGAGTCGACATGGAACTGGGAGAGCGCATACCGCGCATCCACCAATATGCAATTGATAAAAAAAGGGCGCAGCACCTAAGCCTCCTTCCTGCCCGTGGGCCTCCCCCAGCCCTCTGGCCCTCTGGCCCGCGTCAGGTTGGCCTTTTGGTAATCATCTCAAGTGGCTTCGGCGCACAGCTGACATGGGGGCCCCCATGTAACATGCTGCGCGCCCTACTGGTAGCTGTACTTACAAGCCCACAAATGCTGATGCCTGAAATTCGGCGCGGTGCGGTGCGAGCTGCCGCACTCGTCGCGCGCGGGTCCAAAGTCGCAAGCATGGCCTCAATGGGTTGAGTAGGTCATGGGCTGCCGCTGCGCGCTGCCAGCAGAACAGCAGAAGCGGATGCACGGGGCCTCGTGCTCTGTGTAGGTGTGCTGTCCATGTCAATGAGGCCGTTCAAGAGATGCGACGCATCCACCGAGTGCGCCGTGTCGCAAAGGGCCAACTTCCGGCCGCCTTAATTGGGAGCTAGGGCTGATGGACGAGGGTGTGGCGGGGCGAGGCTATTGGCTGAGGGGCACTGGCGCTGCTGCAGCACTTGTGAGTCACAGGTCGGCCCTTTGTGAAGCCGCGCTCGCTTCCAAACGCTTTTAACCCCCCACTTCCCTTCGCTGCCTGAAATTTCCCTCTCTCTTACTCACCACATCCACAACCACAACCATCACACACACACACCCAAGACAGTCATACATAATGGCTGCCTTTTAGCTTCCCCCCGCGTCTCGCAGTCGACTCACAGCCGACACCTTGGATCCCGCCACCATACCCACTTTCCCCATTCAATCCACACCCTCAGAGTCTTCCTTTTTGGAACCTCTGAACTCAAGTCTAGCTTCGTGCAGCTTTAGTTCGCCGTCTTCCTCCCCGTTCGACTTCACGTCGTCCACCACGGCTTCCCAACAGTCAACATGGCTTTCCTCACCAGCTCCCAACGCCTCTCGGCAACCATTGAATACGAGTCAACCCGCATTCGCGCATCGTCAACCGGACTTTGTCCTCTACGATCAACCAGCTCCGGTCTCCCATCGGCCTCAGCGAGCACCCAGCGCTCCTCAGCATACGTTTAACAACGGCCAGCACTTCTACGCAAATTCTGCCCCGTCATCCACTACAGAATTCCAACAGCCACGGTTACGCCAGCGTCCCCCAGTCCCCCTGTTTTCCAGCTCTAGCAACAACATTCCTCAACTCCACAACGCCACAAACATGGCAGGTACGGTGCATCCTCTACGCACTCTCGACTCCGAGCTCACCATGCCGGCAGACTTGAACAGCAACAACTCCTTTGACTCGGGCGCAAGCCTGATGTCCAACTTCAACAACGGAGGCTTTTCTCTGGACTCGGTGTCCGCATTCACGGCGATCAACGATCCTTCTGTTGCCGCCGGGTCTACGCGCACCGTGTCCCCCAAGGACATCTTCAATGATGCCTTTGGGTCTGCGCCCCCATCTACGGCGTTCACAAACCTGACCTCTCCCGATATCGGTGACTCCCCCTTCATCAACGATAGCTTCGAGTGCTCCCCCATGTTCAACGGCGAGCCCAACATGACCGACACAAGCGATTGGTTCTCCCTGTTCCCCGAGCAGGAGACCAAGGTTCCTGATAATGTCTATACGCCTGCCATCTCCATGCCTTTGGAGCGCACTATCAGCAGCCAGTCTATGGAGCGATCTGGTTCGTCCAGCACCGGCTCCCCCATCGTTTTGGACAGCTATACTCGAAGGAAGTCATCTGTTACCAACTCACCTGCCATCAACGGCGTCAGCAAGTCTCGTCGGCGAAAGGGCCCTCTACCAAGCATCACGGTAGACCCTAATGATAAGGTCGCTTTGAAGCGAGCACGCAACACGCTTGCTGCTCGTGAGTCTCGTCAGCGCAAGTTTGATCATGTCAGCACCCTCGAGCAGCGCAACTCTGAGCTGCAGGCTGAGGTCGAAAAGTGGAAGAGCATTGCTATGGCTCATGGATACAGCGGACAATGAATGTCCTCGTCTCTCTCATATGGTCCCCCCCAGTGGTCGTTAGGAGCTGGTGAAGAACCAGCCTTGCCTTTCGGCAAAAGTTTTCCTTTCTCGTTGCTTCTTCGCGGCTCCCTTTTTTGGCTTCTCTCGCGGTCGTATCACCCACGGTTTGTGTTTACGCGCCTTGTGCTTATGTTTTTGACGCCGGTGTGCAGTCTCCCCGATGTGGTTTTAGATTGACTCCGCCTGGCGGAAGTGGTAATGTGGTGCTGACGATGTTTCGGTTTCTCGACGATTTTGTTTGTGAGAATGTTTTCGTGCTCTAGTATATGCGATAGTCTCCTTATAAACGTTTATTCTTTATCAATGACTCCTACTGAATTCGGTGTATTATGGTGATGCCTGGTGTTCTATGACTCTTGTGCCCGCCAAGCGTGACTTTACCAACACGTGAGTGGTCGATGTGTCACACGGTAGTCACGCTGAGCGAGTTTGGGCTCTAATGTTTATGATTCATAGTACGACACGTAGATTTCATGTCGAGTCCTGCGTATGTTGCACATTCGCCACATCTGCTGGATGGTGTGTGTAGACGCCAAGGATGGGCGTGTGACTCTGAGAGGGGGGTTTTTTTTTCTCCATGGCCACGGGGGCTCAGTGCTTGTGCACTGACTACAGGATGGCTCTACACTCATGCAGGCCATTCACACCATACCGAACACCAGAACCTATCATTCTTCTTTAGTCTCCAGAAGTGATCACGTCCATTCGGTTGGTTGGACATGTCGTGTCCGCTGGTTTTTTTTTTCATCGTCTTTGCGCTGGCCTGTAAATATAGCAGCTTAGCTCCGTTGCCGCGACTCATGTCTAACCAAGTCTCACATGGCACAATAGACATACCCGCCGTAGGAAGGAAAAGACCAGATACAAGGTGTTTCTATTGGAACACTCTAGTAGTGATCTTCATCATCCTGCTATATCGCTCACGATGAAGCTTAAAGAAAGTGACCTATGAGTTTTTTTGTCTTTTTTCCATATATTTCAAGATGCATCCTTGATGAAGGCTGTATTATCCAGATTTCCTAGTCAGAAATCTGTTTTTTCTATCACTGTAGTTATTGTCCTGCTTAACTTACTATGTTTATAGCCTTCTAGGCGTAAAGAAAAGACAAGACACGTGCTATCGAATAGTTTTGACTCAAGCACTGCAGCCTACCATGAGAAATTATCATATTCAGGAACACTACTAAAGAAGACAAAAAATATTAATCTCAGTCACAAGGTGCTACTATACTGCATATTACCCTCTCGTTAAAATAAAAAAGAGAAGAAAGCTAGCATAATCCATAACCCACCAGTGCTAGACCCAATTAACCACGATGCCCCTTCCCCCTTCAAAAGTAAATTTATGAAAATAACTCAGAAGAGGTTAAAAAAAGAGTAAAAAAGTAAAAGAAGGTGTTCTTCCTAGTAAGTAAGGATTGGAAGGTTCTACACCAAGAAAGGACAAAAAAAGAATGTTGACAAGAGTGGGATTCGACTGGAAGGAATTAGAACATATTCGGAGAACCCATCTTGGAAGATTTAACTTACACCCACGCCCGTGAAGACTGCGGAGGATGTTTAGAATGAACCTAAACGCAGCGCCTTAGACCACTCGGCCATCTTGCCTTTGTAAGCTTGATGGACAGTTGCCGTATTTTATAATATATGAAGACATGTGTTTGCACGAAGATCTTGCAGCTTGGCTAGGAGTGCTATGCTCTAGGCCTTTCACTAGCCCATCCCTTCTCTAAACTGGTTCAAATCTTTGCGCCTTTTTTGCAATCACACAAAGTGCGGGGCTGGCACTACTTAGCGAAATGCCCCGCTCTATTCCGAGGCCGGGTCCAAGACGACTCACACTCAACCACGTCTGCCATTCACATGAGGTTCAAGGTGACCATTTTTTCCAGTACTTTGAATTTCCATAGACTGCCCTACTAGATATCGCGGTTGCTGTTGCTCAATACGCTACCAGAATCACATCGGCACTAATCCCACTTTCCACTTGTTCGCCGACGACGACGACCATCACAACTTCTTGTCGTAACTTCCCAAAAAAAAAAGACGAATTCTCCGGAAAAGAAAAAAAGAGGAAACCTAGAGTTCACAAGCAACTATGCCAACCCAACCAGACGATCTCTTACTCTCTGTAAGTCACCATTCATACATTTAGTAATTAGCAACAACATAACCCGGTCACGCAAATACTCTTATCCCAAAATACAATCACATCACTACTATACCCATTCTTTACTAACACCGTCACAGCTCCAAAGCTCACTCCGCAACGCACTAGCAACGTTTGGGCCAAGCAGCACTCAGTACCGCAACATCAAGCTGATAGTGGATGAGTACGCGGCAAATCTTGCTATGCAGGGGTTGTCGATAGGTTCGAACGAGGCACGTCAGGTTGGAGAGAATATGCAGACGGATTGAGGGAGTATGCATGTTGAAAGGGACTGCATGGTGAATGAGCATAATTCACCAAGGGGCGAGGGTCTAGGGTCCAGATGCGGAGTGTCCTGATCCGAGACCGTAAAGAATAGGATCACAGGGGTAGAGAGCGTTTAAACTGGAAACGGTAATTTCAGTAAGAGTTCACCCTTATCGAAAGTGCAGTATGTGTACCCCCCAAACATTTTTTTTGCGCAAGTATCAAGACTTCAATGCCAAGTTGTATCCCTAATCTAGTAGACGTGCCTTGAATCATTCTCTTTTGGCTCTAATACATGATTCGACGTACAGCAGTACACGGGAAATGATTCTGTCGTAGCGAAATCGAAACCGCTTTATGCCACGCTTATGTCTCTAATATATCGGGCACTTTGTCGGAGCCCAGCTTTCGTACAACACCAACGAAAACATATCTGTCCCCAAAACGAACTCTACACACCTCCAAGTTCCAATAATTCCTACTTTTCAAGTCTCTCGGTTTTCGCCAATCTTTCCCCCACCTCTCTAGCTTGCTCCTTGTATGTGTCATCAAGACCCTCTCCCTCTACTTACCATTACTTCCAACAAGAATACTGTTCTCTATAAGATCTCTTGAAAACTCGGCGAAAAGCTGGATGACGGCGGAGTTTAACGAAATCGTCCCCAGGTATTATATGGTTGAGTCAGAGCGGGCTGTTTCACATGCGGATGTTTATGGTGAGACACGCAGACCATCATTAGATACGGATGATCTCTATCGAGTATTCATGCATCGAAGATGCTTTGTTTTCTCATGCGTATCTAAGTCACCTGAGAATGCGGAGGGTGATCCAGCAAACTCGAGGGAGCTAGATGCCTGAGGTGGGATTTGCTGTTCCAGGGCAAGTTCTCTGTCGAAGCCGCTCTGCTGATCTCAGGTTTCCTTGTCAGATTGTTCGATTTCCGGGAGATTGTCTGGATGCGCCTCTTCTTACTCGAATGCTCAGAAAAAGATGGCACTTTGCCCAGCTGCTCCATCTATCGTCGTCTGAAAACCAGGATGAAAAGTACCGAGAGAGGTCAGCACTAAACTCGGAATTCCTTTTCCGTAAAATAAGAGTTCTACGAGCTCATGTTGACGGGCCTGCTTGAACACCCCCATAACCTCCTCTGGGTCCAAAGCCCCGTCCGCCGCCTCGTGCAGGCCCTTGTGGTTGGCGGACTGGCTTCTCGTGTGTACCCGGTGTTGATGGACGGCTAATACCAGACTCCTTCTTTTGGCCATGCACTGAGCCAGGTTTCGGGGTGTAGCTTGGGTCGAAGAGCTGGCGTGCAGGAGCGGCAGCTCGTGCGGGTGATTGCTCATTGCTCGATCTAGGTTGGCTATCTCTCCCACCACGTCCTCGGCCTTTTCCTCTTGTGGGCCTGTTCGGGGAGTTATTGCGCGAGTCCTCTGTAGCAGAGGCAGCTGGCGAGCCAAAGATGCGTTCACGCGCCTCGGCATACTTGCGCTCTTTCTCTGCTCGTTCCCTTTGCGCACGTGCCTTTCGCTCTTCGAAATCTGCTTCGGCCTTCTTTTTGCGCTCTTCTTCACTGTCGTCGTCTTCGAGGCTCATACCTGCCATGTTCCGAGAAAGAACCTGAGGGGAAGGCTTGCGGGCGAGCATTGTAACTTTTGGTTTGAAAGTTGCTACGGCAGGTGCAGGGTGTACTTCAGGGTACCATTGGGGCTCTGGGTTTTCGCTTATCCACAGTCGTCAGCTCGGGACGTAATGAAGGGGGTGGGAAGGGTGGCATACGCGGCCTGCCAAAGCTGCTTGTTGAATTCAGCATGCTGGGCTTTCAGTTGTGCCTTTGTGAGTTTTGGCTTCGGTTGCTCTTCGGCTGGCTTCTCCTCTTCTTTCTACAAGGCGTGAGCGAATGAAAGCAGCGAAGAGGGGCACATGTACGTCGGCGAGAGATTCCCAGTCATCATCCCAGGCATCAGCGAGAGCGGTCTTTGGCGGCATTGTATCTCTGAGTTTATCCGGTTGTGGCAGTTCGAGAAATTTAAAAAAACGGTGGTGTTGTTGGAGGCTACCTCGGAAGAAGAGGTGTGTCGGTCTGGGGTTATGATGTCGCAGCCCGCCAATATTTCGAGGGTTCCACCGACGACCCTTGTCTGCAGCGGGAGCTAGCCACCACATCCCGCGATTAGATAGCTGCTGCGCTATGTCATTTCACTGCTTGCTGCCTCACACCCTGCATTCACCCTGTGTCGCAAACGCCCTAGCTACAGCTACAATCGGTTTGCAAGCCCAGAATACCCGCCGAAATGTCTGGTAAGTTTTACTCCTCTATCAACACCACCCAGTATGGAGTCCAAACGGCCTCGCATGGAGCTTACGCCCCCATCAGACCGCGATGGAGACTCGACCATGCATTCTTCTCCCCGCAATGCCTCGGACGATGAAATGTTCCCCGACGAGGCGCTTCCAAACAACCCAGCCACGCCACATAACGCAAATCTTGCCGCCGTAAACGAAATCTCGCCGCCAAACTCCCAATCCCAGACTCGCGAGACATTGGGTGTAAACTCCAACGGCAAGCGCCCATTGTCTGGTGGCACGATGCAGTCCTCAGCAACAAACCCCCTGGGCACAAGCGGGACACATACAGACCCTGAGACAGGTTACCAGTGGAGCAAGCAGGAGGATCAGCCGGGCTACGAGTGGATGAACACAAGGGCGAGGGAGGAGGAAAACAGAGCACTCGACAACATTGTTGACAAGGGATATATGATCAAACGTGAGCGACTTCCCTTTTTGTGTAATCTTGTCGGAGGAGGGAAAGTTGGCTGACATTTAGGTAGTGCGGTATGGTGATCCTCTAGATGCGAGCGTGGCCGCGAAGACGAAGCGCTGAAAGGAGAGGCTGAAACGTCATACTGCCTAATGAGGTGAACACACTAGCGGGTTGTGGCTATGCGACGTACGGAAGGCATGGGCTCTATGGCATTAGAACAACATGTCATGTATGATATATCCAAGCGCATTGTCGGGTATCGAACCGTACATACAAGTTATACGAAGCATCTTCGTGCGAGCAGGTGCATCACGCACCCGGATAGCTCTGTGCTTCCATTCATGAATAAACAACAATGTTCAACTCTGTTCCGCCAAAACGCCCTTTCCATGCAGTGATATCTCAGTACCCGTACGAAAAAGCATAGCCCCTCAGTCACTGTCGTTGCCATCTTCGTCGTCGTCATCCTCTCTGTTCTCCTTCTCTTCGAGCGGATCCTCTACCAAGCGCTCCTCTTCGACCTCCTCTTCAATCTCATCATCCTCGACTTCCTCGTCCTCAATGTCTGCTGTTTCGTCCCCCTCTTCTTCCGTGACGTCTCCCTCGGCGTTGTCCCCGCTCTCTCTCCTTGCCCTCTTCGCTGCCCTCTCTCCATCATCATCCGCCTCTTCCATGACGATATCTCCATCCGCCGTTGGTTTTGTAGGTGTCGATTCTGTTGCACCTCCACTTGACGATGCCTTCTTCTCCTCGCGGACTTTTTTCCTGTAAGTGTTCCGCTTGTCGGCTTGTATGCTCGTGAACTTTGTGACCTCGGCTTCAAGACGGGGCAACATGAAAGCGAATTCGAGTTCTTGCATGGCATCGAAGACGTCCTTGGGCATGACGGTTTTCTTGCCGTTGCTGAGGGCTTTCTCGGCAGCGCTATCAACATGCCATTGTCAGTGCTGGTTCAGCAGTATAGCAGATGGCTCGGCGCATGCGACACTGGGCATAGTAGCAGAGAGTAGGCAAACATACCATGATGTAACGTAGTTGACGAACACGGTTGCACTCTTGCTCATGGCAAGTAGCGCATCTTTTTGGATCTGAGTATTCGGCGGCAGCACACCCTTAGCCAGACGCTGCACTATCGACTTGGGCAAGTTCAGATCCTATAGTCGGGTCATCAGTCTTGCGCTCTGATTCTGACTCAGTATGCAGCGCACCTCGACACCTAGACTGTCATCCCGCGGCGCTGATCTTGGTGCTACGGGACTGGGTTCATTTGACACGGCGGATGCGTTGCTTTTTTTGGGCGGCATTGTGAACTACAAAATACTCGCTGGAGGGAATTAGCGGTTTCGGGCGTGGTGGAGAGGTATGCGATTGAGGTCGGTACGTTGGTTGAAGTGGATGTGGAGGTGCGAATGCGATAGTTTTAGTGGACCCTGACGCGTGAGCACGCGTTGAGGTCTGGGCGCGATTCTGGACCTTCGTCGGGAGCGGCACTGTCAATCGGTATCGACACTTTACATGTGGATTGTGAGCCGAATATTTCAACACGTTGTCCAAGGATGTTCTGATTCGCGATTCAGGTGGGTTGAATGGCGATTTCATCGTACAAGCGGAAACCTCAGTGTGCACATTTAGACCGTCTAGGGGTGCCCAACCGAGCAGCATACTCAATAGTCAACTCTCATCCTGGGTCCAAGTATGAAGCAGCCCAGTGAACGTTCTAGCATTACCGGCCTTACCTAACATCCATCTCTACTGTCAAAATATGATAAGACAATCACAACTTAGCCATGTTTGTAGTTAGTCCCGTTGTAGCCATTTTGAGCATGTCCGACCAATATACTTAAACTTGGAATAGCACACTGAGTCTACCGACGCCAAGTGGCAGCTATGCTAATAAACTTCCGCTATTTCTGTAGGTTGCATGACGCCCTGTGCATACTCCAAGGCACTTCAACATTTTGGACCCTTAATCGCCAGGGTCCATTTATCAGTGTCAAACCACAATTGGATCGAAACCTTGTTGTAAATCCAACAATCTAAATCTGTTCCGTATTCCAGTCTTCTCTATCTTTCCCATCGACTTTCTTGCTCAAAAATTTGTGGTTATGAAAATGCTTCGATGATGATCCATGTCACTGAGCTAGATGATAAGGGAAGGTAGACATCCCTAGATGCAAGACAAGCCCCTCTGCTCCACCAACTTCATAGTTACCCAAGGCTGTTACCCTTATCTAATTACAAGAGAGCGCGTGTACCGATCAAATAGTACGTCAGAACCCATCCTAGCACTTCACATGTGAGACACAACCAAGAGGTCAGGTAAAGATCCAGAATCACCTACTAGCCTACCCATCCACAACACTACGTCAGTCCCATCCCCCAAGAACCACATGAAACAGCAAATAAGCCGGCGCACACAAGCTACCAGAGTTGCGACAACCAGTCGAATAGCAACCCCGCCCTACACTCACCCCCACCTTCTCACCGCGGCTAGACACGGGTGACGTCACCCCCCGCCCGCAACGCAACGCAAACATGGCCCTAATCTCTGCCGCCTGGTGACCACCACGCCACGCCACGCCCCCCATCAAACAGCCAAGTTCCCTTCAGCTACCACGAGCAAGGGTCTGTATGTCCCCTACTAAGCCGAAACTTGCATACATAAGTACTCGGTTGTCCGTCACTCCCTTCTCTCACCCTCACTAAACACCACAACTTCCACACAAAACCCTAACATTTCAAGGCCACGGCTTCCTTAAGACTTCTTTCCAAAAGATCCTGTTCGAATTCACCCCGCAAAATGCCTCTCGTAGTCCCCGGTATCCAGTCCAAGGATGGAAACTCCAAGGAGGAGTGGATGACCAAGCTCATGGGCAAGAAGATTGGCGAGCAGCACGATGAAGTGGTATGTGTTTCTATTCGCCTTTTACCTGAATACCACAATACACCCTGTGTAATGTCCATTTCGAACATACTAACGAATCACGCAATGATTAGACTTTCGCAAAGACCGATCTCCCAGAGAAGCACCGCGTCCTCGGACCCGACTCGATGAAGACTATGGATTTCAACCCAGACAGGCTGAATGTACACGTCGATGAGGACGGTACCGTCAAGGACATTACCCACGGTTAAGAATAAGGTTGGCTGGATAGTAACGGGCTTGATGGTTCTGGAGGGATGAGGCATAATTGCCTGGACGTGGTTAATGAAGATGGCAACATGAGCGTGTGCACCCAAATGCTACTATAATAGATGACACTGATGAATCCAAGTCACGATTATTCACAATACAACTGAGGTGTGTGTGTGCATCCAAACTAATGTAACGAAAAGGACACGGGAGAGTCTCCTCTAGTTAGAGGAGACTCGAGCATTTTGCCACAGCTACCTGGTCTCAGCGCCAACTCCAGCGCTTTGCTAAAAGAAGAAGAAGAAGAAGAAGTAAAAAAAAGTCGAGAAAAACTCCAATGATATCGTACAACAAAAAAACAGACGTCAGATACCACCGCTTGCAAGGAAAAAGAAGAAAAGAAAGGGAAAACAAGATGGCTACCAAATTCCCTGCCAAATTCCCTGCCAACTTAGTTTTTTTTTTGCAACTCCAAATTTGGTACTGGGGCCGCATATCAGCCCTACAGCCTTGCCCGCACGGTCACCCAAAACAAAAAAAGAACCTCGCCACTGTGGGGAAAACCTTATTGCAACCTCACCGGTGACGACTCTTCTGTCCTCTCCTTTTTACGCCTTTGTTCGTTTGCGCGGTGCCTCGAATTCTCTCCTACTGGTAGCAATCCGCACCTCGTCCTTATTTCGCAACGCATCGACCACGGCTGTCATCTTGAGCATTGTGGCATGCATAGCCTCTGGATGCTCAAAGCAGAGCATGATGCACGCTCGTATCGTGAGCGCGGAAAAGTATCGTCGTAGCACCTTGTCTTTCTCGTGGTAGCTGGCGGCTCCCATGACGAGGCCGATCCAGAGGAGTACACCGGCCATGTCGCCCCAGCAGTCGGAGAGATTGGATTGTTCCAGCGCCTCCTTGACTTCTGAGAGTGTCGTGAAACGCCGTTGGTTACGCAGTGTCTCTGCTGAGATGGATGATTGAGACGAAAATGACGGGTGGTGCGAAGAGGATGAAAATGATGGGTGGTGTGAAGCGGTTGAGGCGTCCGAGGATCGGTGGACAAAGGGAAAGCTCGGCTGTTGTGTAGAAGAGCCAAAGCTGAAGGAGCCGCCGAATGATGGACTTGTAAAGTAATCTGTATCCGGGGTACTGTATGAAACATCAAAAGGTGAAGGTAGGGATTCACTGGATTGCGAGGCCAGTGACGATGTGTAAATTGTAGACATTTTTCTCGTTGGGCATGCGTGTGTAATGGCGTCGGATAGCTGGGTTCGGTTGTTGATTGCATATGCTTGGACAACGGAAGTGATCCGTATCGCCTCGTATTTCCAGTCTGCTTGTGTACGCACGTTGTCCCTAGGCATTTGTTCCAAGGCAGGGTATTGAGTGATGCGGTAGGTCATGCTTGTGAGTTTGTTCGAATTCCATTGAGCGTCTTTCGACCCCTCAAGAAATTCTTCAATCAACGTCCGCATGTCGTTCAGGAGCCTCAGTATATTTGGCTGATACGCGACTGCTCGTGAATCCTCGACTGTCACATATTTCCCGCGAGGACAGTAGAGTGGAGACTCTGGGGCTGTGACATTAGGCAAGTATTCCTTGGTCGAATTGCTGACGCAGTACTCGACATAAATTGCGCTAGGCGATGTTTCGCGCAAGACCGCGGTTGCCAGGTGTGCCCAAGAGACTGCAGATGCCAGATAGCCATTTACCCCCAACTTGTCTAGCCCACCACGCTCTCTGATCATCTTCTCCATGCCGTCCTGATGATAAGCCAGACTCATCTCTGTCCGACTAATGACTTCACCAAGAATAAGCTGACTGACTGCGATGATGTTAGCATCATCTGCCCTTGTTTTGGACTCCCGGATTTCGTCTACAACAAGTTCCACGACGTCTTGGCGCAATGCTGCAGTTTCGAGACTCTCGACCTCGCGCTGGTGTATAACGTCATCATGTGCAGATGCCATGAACAGCGTACTAAGAAAAGTGTGAGGATGGTCGAGGCACTTTGGTATCCACACTCTACCGAGGCTTTGTGTGCCAAAGTACGTCCTGCAGTGGTGCTTCAATTTCTCGACAGAAACGTTTGGGTTGCTCGATTGGAACATGGTTCCGAAGGGATCCAGGCTCATGCCTATCCATCTTAATGGTATGTTGTGTTTGTCAAACGCATAGTTGAATTGAGGGTTTATAGGAACAACTATGGGCGTTCGGGGCGCAATAGATGGCTGTGGTTCGACTTTTGCTATCCTGGTATCAGAATTTGAGTGGTTGTCGTCTTTCGACTTTGATTTCGAGGAAGCATCAGGGGAAGCTGGCTTGTTTCCACCGCGACTCTTTTTCTTGGATTGAGCGATTGGGCGACTTTGAGTCTCCTCGCCCGCATGCGACTCGTCGGAAGCTTCACTACCCGCCCTCGACTTTGCACGCCCTCGACTTTTTCCAGTCTCGAGAAAGCTGACCATGGCTTTTTTGCGCACTATATGCATGGTGTCTTTTGCTTTGAACTTGGCGGGTTCATTTGCGACAATCCAACAAAGTCCTCCATCTTTAGATGGTGATTCTGTCGGTGAAACGCTCGACGTCTTGCGCGACTGCAATGCTACATGTGCTGTCAGTATATGGTGCCACACAAGAGGCGATAGGACGGCACTGTCGAGCGTTCATGTCCATGTGAATGAGTGACGTCGGATTGGCAATGGACATTTGTGCGGGTGTGGGTGCAGGCGCAGGCGCAGGCACAGGCACAAAGCGAGACCTCGGCATGGTGATGGCAGGCTTGCTGCCTATGTAGGGCACTCAACGCGCGCACATCCGACTTATCAGTGAAGACGAAGAGAGCTTCGCTTACATTTGATCTCCGAACGTGGCGACATAGGGCTGCAATGGAAGGTCGTATCAGAGTCGACGGTGGATGCAGGTGAGGGATAGGCGAAATGCATGTGATGTGTGGCGGCGAAGAGAAAGGGCTCTGCTGGAGGGGCAGTCATTGTTGTTGACTAGCTCGATGCTCCAAAGGGAAGGGAGGGGGTTTGCCCAGCACAAAAGTCAAGGAAATGGTGCAAACAAATGGGCGGTTCTTCGATCAGCGCAGCAAATGTCTTGGAGCAGCAGCAGACGGAGCGGTCGAGGGATCGGTCAGTATCAGGTAGGGCTGAGCGAGTATGGGGGCCTGATGAAGACATATATGTAGGCGTGCAGATGCTTGTGTGCCTTGCCTGTCAGGCTGAGCCAGCATTCGACAAAGCGCAGGACGTGCCGTCTAAGGGACCCCTTGTGTTGCCCTGTGAAGCGGGCAGTAGGCGATTGAGCGGCATGCAGCATACTGGTAGCATGTTGGGGAACGCGTGGCAACGTGGTGTCGCTTGGCTACAAAGGCCATGGCCGCAGATGGCGGCCGTGGCTGTGTTCCTGGTGCCAACACGGGTGAACGAACCATGGGCACATTCACGTTGCTGGCCTGACCGCCCGCCCATGGCTCTGGCGCCCGCGCAGTCTGAGTGCGCCTCCGGAACTGCCTCAGTGCAGACGCCCATCAATGTCGGTCGCCCTGCAACATGTGCCACACCCCCGATTGGATGCCGTACCACACGTGCAAAGGCTGTCACCAATCGCACCCTGGAACCCTCCAGACATCAGGCCCGTCTCACCGCTCCCACACACACACACCCGCGACATTTCCCAAGGAACGCCAACACAGTCCCTCCCCACCTCCCTTATCTATTCACCCCTCTCTCAGATGAGCCACGGGCCCGGTCCTCTCGCGTCACAAACGTCTCCTTGGCTGGCCTAAACACGCGCACATGGCTACCGTGACTTTGCCTACACAAGATACGAGCTCAAATGCAATCTCAAATGACACAAGGAACACACCAATGCAATCACATCATCAACGTTCGCTTACCGGCGAACCAGCGTGTTGGGTACGCCATGCCTTGGGCTGGGTGTAATGACATTGCTATAGGCGTGTGGGCTGCCCTACTTACCAATCACTCGCTTCGACTCATACCGCACCGAATCCCGTAAGCAGCCCGGTGGAGTCCATACGAGCGCGAGCTGTCTGATAATTGGCGTGCTCATAGCTCTACCACAACTTTGGGACCGTGGATGCAGCCTCAGCTACGACAAAGGGCTAGACCGTCTGCCTTTGACAACACCAGCCTTTAGCACTGGTAGACGTGTGATACAACAGAAGGACTTTATATATACATGGTTGTATTAATAGACCTGTCCACCAAGCCTCTTGGGACTGTTGCTACTGGCGTCAATTGCTCAGTCCAAGACCAAAATAGTCACTGGGGGCTTGCTGTCCGCCTCCCCTCCCAGGACTCGCACCAACGTCTCCCGGACTAACACCATCGCTCTCTTCCGACGTGATGCTCATACTGTTCGCCCCGAAATCGTCGCCTAGTCCGCCTAATCCGCCTAACGCACGATGCCCATTGCCCCGCCCTCTCAACGGCACATTGAGACGAGTAGAATCAAACGTGAAATGGGGCTGGCCCAACCCAGACTCTGCTGACGGGCTCTTCAGCTCGACAAGCTCCAGTGTGCTACGAAGCGTCGCACCAGATTCATCCAGAGCCATCAGAAACCGCGCTAGTTCTTTGCATAGCTCCCAATCACCTTCCTCTTTGGCACGTTGCAGTAAGCGCACCACCTGGTCCCCCGTCGACCGCAGTTCCTCAAACGTATGAAGGACAAGTAGGTAGCCACCTGCAGTCTTGAGATTACCTTTTTGGAGCGATTCTTCAAATAGCTCTTCCGGCGGCGGCAGATTCGAGAACAGAGTTCTCCAGGAGCGTACCTCAGTTTTGCGCGTGCATTGCACCACGATATCAAGGTACTGCGGAAACGAACTCAAAAACGAGAGTACGCTCGGCAAGAGGGCTTGTTCAAGTGGCGGCTGGGTGTCGACCTCTTCGTCCAATACTTCATGTAATAAGATTTCCAAGGCATGAGGAAAGTAAAGCAGATGCTGGTAATGATGGCTGAGATGTAGAGCCGCAGGGTGATTGAACTGACCCAGGTGGGAGCGCAGTAGTGCGGGAAGGAACAAGTGGGTCTACCACACATGTCAGCAAGGCATGTATAGAAAGAGAGACGGAACAGCTTACTCTCGTTCCGAAGCGCAAGAAGGCAAAGTTTGTGTCTCTGCGTTGGATCAGCTCCGACTCAACACCGAATACTATGGCTTTATTAATCAATGCAGATAGCGGGTAGAAGTCGACTGGAATCTGCACAGGTGCAGGCAGCTCTCTGCCAATCTCAGGAGATGCAGAAGCTAGGACGTCTTGCATATCGATCCACACCCGCATATCTTGGCCATCAAAGAACCACAGTGAATCGCGCAAATCATGGCCATGCATGCCCTCCATCGTAAGCCCTACCGAAGGGCTTGGCGGCAGGGAGTCAGCTTGCTTGTCTAGTGCAAACGCAGGGTGGTCGCGCATGAGCGCATATGTCTCTACGTTCTGCGCAATGATACGCATTTCATACTTGAGTCCGCCGACTTCTGTTGTAGTTGGCTGGAGGAGCACAAGTTTACCGTCCACAAGGAACAATATCGTGGCAACCGACACGTCTTGTGACGGGTCTCCGCTGTCTAAGCTACATTAGTTTCTGTAGAACCATGCTCTGGCAGAACTTACGCATCTGGTCTTCAGGCAAAATCCAGCTGAGTGCTCGTACTCGTGGAGGTGCACGGATAATGCCATGCAGTGCAATTTGACCAACTTGAACTAGTTTGACACTGGCGTCTGCAACACTGATAACGTAGTGGTACAAGACGTTCTCGTATGTATAGACCAGAAGCGAATCCTCTCCTGAGGGCGCAATCAAAACTATTGGTGCTGGGAGCTTCTGCACATGCATGATGCGGCTTTTTTCCAGAGCCGCCTCGCGAGAATACACTCGAATCTAGGTACGACCAAGTCAGTATGGGTCACCAAAACCGTCCCGCATTCATCGTACCTCATGAGATTCCTGGCATTCAACCGCTGCAATCAGAACATGCTGAAACCAGCACATTCCTCCTCGAACAGTGAACTCGTTCTCGCCAAACGGATCGTCAAACATCTTCCAACGTCCGCTATTCACGCTGTAATGTGCAAGCCCCCTTTTGCCTGCAATTGCAACGTATCGCCCATCGTTTGAGATGACTGCACTTCTGATTGGCCACTGGTCGACAAGATAGGCCGAAGGAACCTGTACATGGTGCCACAAAGAGACATCAGCGGAAATAGTCGTAAGGTCTGGAAGGTCGTAGCCACGATAGATCATGAAGCCAGTGCTGGTCTGCATCAAGGACCGTGATACATTGGCAGATGAGAAGCAACCAGTGACCGCACTTCGAGCCATTTCCATGGTATATAGACGATTATCGTTGTTGGCCAACATCAAGAGCTCAGCGCCCCCACCGATCCAAAAAGCTTCCTTGATGCCGAGAAGCCAACCCTCTTTGTTTGTCTCGGAGAGCGTCCTGTCTGCGGTAAAGCTAGTAGCACCGGGCTTACCGTATACACTCCACATTGCCCAGCCATTTTCGTAACCAGCGAATAGACAGTACCCATCTGGCGAGTAGGTCAAGATAGTCAACTGCCCAGGCGATGTGACATTCGGACGTAGCTTGTGCGAGAGAGGAATGTTGCCTGTGTAGTCTTTTGCAGTATACACATATATCTCACCACTGGCACTGCCAACTGCAAGTAGAGAGAACCGCGCATTGATCGCAGCTTTGATTCCTCTGTCCGCATCTACCTCGGGCATGTGGAAGCCATGTCCGCGGAAAAGACTGGGATCTTCACTGTCTTTTTTGGCGACTTTTTGAACAGCAAATGCCTGACCATCATTCGTAATCCAACAGGATATGTTCATGGGTCGATCATGAACCAAATCACGTAGTGTCGTCTTTTTTTGAATCCACGCCATTTTGGATAATAGCTCGGTGCTTGTTTGATTTCCAGTGCTGTCTGGCGCCCATCGAATGCATTGTATAGCAGCAGGCTTCTCCGTTGCAACAATCAACTCCTCGTCTAAAGCCAGGACTCGTACTATCCCAGCATCGACCCGTATAACCATGCGGAAACGCAGGCTGAGCTCTCTCAGGCCACTGCCCTCTCCCGGCCCCGCGTTAGCCTCATGCTGCCGTTGTATCTTGAAGCCAGTGATTGCACTGCTTTTTCTCGTGTGTCCTCCATGTGTGTTTGTGAATTGGGTTTTGTAAACACGCGAAGAACGATCTGTCGCAAGGGAATACGTAATCAAAAAGCCGAGTGTCGTTTGTACGACGAATATCTGGGAGTCGGGGCGAACAAGCACATCGGTATTGGGGCCGTAAGTTTTGACGGATTGTTCGGAGCGTAACACAGAAGCCAAAACAACGGTAGGCTATAAGGTGTATCAGTGAAGGCTGACCAAAAAGGCGAGCACATGGTACCTTTGTCTGCCAGACTGTGAGCGTTGTTTTTGTGAGGGTTGCAAATAAGTGACCACTCCTAGTCACTCTGATAGCAACAATGGTTCCGTGGATGTCATCCTCTACCGGCGGACTCGGAGCAGCTTGTCGCAACAGCTCCCCATCTCCCTTCTCTTCTACCCCGCTTGTGTTGTTCGTAGCCTTCTTTTCTTTTGGCTGAGACTCTACACCACTGTCTGGTTCAGCGTGTTGGTCGCCTGATTGCTTGCGCTCTAAGCCATCGTTGGAGACATGTGGGCGCCCTAGGTCCGTACGTTTAGTAGCCGCGAAGACGGAGGGCGACGAGATAGGCCAATACGTCATGGCGCTTTACCGCAAGCGATGGCTGCATTTGCGCGCGCCCACCTCACTGCGGGGATGTGTGCTTCACGAAGCTCATGCTAGCTGGCTAGATGCAGGGTAAGGTGGCTGTGGTGTTTGATGTTGAGCTTGATGATCCACGCGAGGCGCAGCACCAGTCCGGCTCAGTTGTGGCTGCCCGGTCCGTGCTTAGATAGGACAATGAACACAGTGATAGCAAGGGTCAATCAAATTGGTGGGGTTGCACATCCCATGTTTTTACGTTTGTGCTGCCTCAGGACTCCCGGCTCAGTTGGGAAGGTGCTATTACAGGCATGGCTGCAGGAAGTAGCCGGCAGCCATCTGAGCGCCCTCGAATAGATGATGCTCGTACTCGTTCTACGCGTAGAAGCTGCAAGAGTTTGCGGCCGTCGTGTTCCGAGGTTTTTTGGGAACGTGAAAGAAGCCTGAAGTATTTACCAGTCTCTACAAGTCAACAGAGTCCCCCAATCGTGTTTTCTGCTGAAGATCTGGAAATGTTGGATTCATGGTATCTTGCATCTCCATCGCATGTTCCCACTCTTTGTGTCATCCTGTCCAATTGATAAGTAAACCATGTTTTGGAAACCCTGCGGGACTTGAAGAGAAGACTGTCGAAGGAAATGTATTTTTTTTAACTCGGCGAATGTGACTATACCCACAGCCACAGGCCAATCTACGTTTTACTTCCCAGAATTGATAATGAGTTAATAATTGTTACGTTCGTTCGAATCTCCATCAAATCCCTTACGGTGAGATGGCCGAGTTGGTTATGGCGCCAGGTTAAGGTCTTCTTAACATCATATTCCTGGTCACGAAAGTGGCGTGGGTTCGAGTCCCACTCTCATCAGCATTCGTCTGGCTTCAGTCAGATACCCCAGGTTCTTTTTTTTGCAGGTTCATCAGCACGTATGGCAGCATGGCATGGGTCATGTCACGGCGACTAAGCGTTATTTTTACCTGATCACAGAGATTATGGGTAGCACTGCTCGCAAGCTTATATGTGATTCTGATGTTGGAACAAAGATCTTATTACAACTCCTACCTGTCCTCATTTTTTTTTCCAATAATTCGCAGTTGATAACAGAGAGTTTATAGAGCAGAAATGTGACGACAAGCAGGGATAGAGTCTTTAAGAAAGATCGTTCTATATACGAAGAGTCCTATTGATCATTCTAGTGTATCGATTCGTAGAGAAACTTGGGAAAGAAAGGATTTTTGAGGTATAATCGCTACATGCACTATCATTGCTAAAAATGTCTTTGTAATGTAGGTGTATAATTGTGTGCGCACCTAAAGCATCACCGATGACGTAGTACATACTTATCCAGGACCCTGCAGATCAACTCCCAAAAAATTACACGCAACGTCCTGCTCTGTACCAATAGCACCATCATAATTTGAGGAACGGGGAGAAGGTCGTTGCAAATGTCGGGCAATTCCAATTCAGACATCTTAATTGTAAGTAATTGGCTACACAGCTGTAATAGATTCCTGGTATATGCGCCACTCTATATGTATCTAGACCGGCAGTAGATATGCGACATGTACCAAGGACTTGTTGAACAATAGATGTTGAATTGGTAGGAAAGAGAATATATAGCAACGGGCGAGAAGCTAACGAAAACAAAAACTCTAGGCAGGCGCAATTGCAGCCTTTACAGTCGATCTCCTTGTATACCCGCTCGACACACTGAAAACACGCATCCAATCGCCCAACTATGCAAAAGTATATACGAATCCACAGACAGGGAAGCCGAATCCGGCTTTGTTTCGCGGCGTGTATCAAGGAATTGGAAGTGTAATAATAGCCACATTACCTTCATGTAAGAATCATTCACTTCTACACCCTTCATCGTCTCCATAATCCTCAAGACATAAGCTCTCATAATCCTCAATCCCAAACCATCAAACCCTCAGTGAATCTAACACCCCAAAAAGCAGGAGCATTCTTCACAACCTACGAACGCACAAAATCCCTCTTCACCCGCTTAAACACCACCGCCTCCTCTTCCCCGACAGGCATCCTTCCCACCCCCTTAATCCACGCCTCAGCCTCCTCCTTGGCCGAACTCGTCTCCTGCGCCATCCTCACCCCCGCAGAAGTAATCAAGCAAAACGCTCAAATGGTCTCATCATCATCATCTTCTTCTTCTTCTTCTTCCTCCTCCTCTTCCTCTCCCACTCAAGCAAACGCAACTCTCCAAACCCTCTCGAAATTCCGCTCCAACCCCCTCGCCCTCTGGCGCGGCTACACCGCACTCGCAGGACGCAACTTACCTTTTACAGCCATGCAATTCCCACTACTAGAACGGCTAAAGGAAGCGATAAAGCAGTACCGCGATGAGCGCGGCTTAACGCGCGGCACGATTGTGGAAAGCGGGTGTATTACTGCGTTTAGTGCGGGCACGGCGGGCGCTGTGGCAGCGGTGATTACGACGCCGATTGATGTGGTTAAGACGCGGATTATGCTTGCGGCGGGTGATGGGGGGTCAGGGGAGGTGAAGGGACAGGAGGCCAAGGGGGCGAAGGACGGGATCAAGAGTGCGGCGAGGGATTTGATGCAGGGGGGTGAAGGAGAGAAGAAGAAGACTAGTTGGGGGATTGGAAGGGAGATTGTGGCAGAGAAGGGGGTGAAGGGATTGTGGAGGGGTGGTGCGCTGAGGGCTGTGTGGACGTTTGTGGGTGCGGGGTTGTACTTGGGGGCGTATGAGACGGGGAGGGTGTATCTTGCTAGTCGAAGAGGTGATGAGATTAGTGAAGAGGATTTGATGTAGGCATGGTCGTGCTAAATGAATATCAAATGATATATCTCTTCGGTAGAAACAAAACAGCCAGACTTCAGACGATGTCAGATGAATTGATGTTACATATCGTATAATATTTCGATTATTTTTCATTCATGGCTAACAGTACTTTTTTCTCTTCCACTGTCTCATAAAATATTCATCTCCACTATAGACCTAGATAGGATCAAGGGAGAGGAAAAGGGGGGGTATATCTACATGTTACATCATAAGCCTGTTCCTTAACACCCCGAGAAAGAGAAAACTACCCAAGACCTACAGGGAAGAGTACGTTGCTGCTCATGCATTTCCCCTCCTACCTTATAACGCCCAGAATCTTACTTTTCGTTAAATCATGCCATAGCGTAGACCGCTTTCCAACCAGAAACAAGACGAAGAAACAAAAGAAAACAACTCCCACCTCAGGCGACTACAACTTAGTGTCCTGCCTGTTTGTATCGCTGAGGCGTCGAAAGGGACCTTGAGACATAATACTAGGGCCGGGCCTAGTGCCAGTGGCGCGTGTTGGGTTGCTGCCGCTTGCAGTTGCGGCTGTGGTACCTGGGGTTCTGGAGTTGCCGGCGGCATTAGAGCGTTGCTGGAGCGTCGCGCTAACCACCCACTGCAGATGCATACGCATGTTGCTGATCGCCGCGTTGACGTGTAGCATCTCGTCTTTGGTGCGCTGGCTCTCGTTGATGATCATCATGTTTGTGCGCCCGTCGAGGTCGGTGAGGGCATTGGCGATGCGAGATACTTCCTCACGGAGGGAGTCGTGCAGTGTGAGTAGATGGTGGACCTGCGAGTCGAAAGGTGGCTGGGCAGCGTTGCCATCGGTTGTGGGTGGGACAGGTGGAAACGAGGCTGGTGGTAGTCGGAAGTCGGGTGTAGGCGCTTGAGGGTCAGTGTCGTTGGCATTCAGGGGGTCTGTGACTGGGAAAGAAGTGTCGTTTCCATTGGCGGGGTACAAGTAGTTTGTGATATTGGTGAGGCCGTCTTCGAGGATACCAACTTTCCTCGTAAGGGGTTCCATACGCGCTTCATTCCTCTCGATCCTGGCTTGCTGCTCGCGGAAGTGAGGCGCCATTGTTGCTATTGGACAAGCGGCTTCATGCGCGATGACTTGGGCACGCTCGGCGTGGAACTTGCACCCAACAATTGTTCCCTGACACGAGATGACATGCTTGGGGCAGTCGTTGTTGATGTGAGGCTTGAGGTCTAGACGAAGCACTTCAGTCGAGCATAGTGTGCAGGATGTAATGCGATTTGCGCAGGAAGTTCGCTGGTGCTCCTATACGACAATGGTAAGCAGCCGCCGCATACACATAGTTATCGACCAGACTTACCTCAAGATCCTTCTTCATAAGCGAAGTATGACAGTCTTCACAGCTCACTGTGTAGTGCAGACAGCCCTTGTGAAAGTCTTTCTGGGTTGTAGGCAAGCGGCAGTCTACTGCTGAACACATGACGGGAGTGTATTCGCAATACAGCATGACATGGTCGCGCACGTTGACGCGCTGAGCCTGCCAGTTGCAGCCAGCCTTTGTGTTTGGACATTTGACCACCAACTCATCAAGCATAGTCTCGACAATCTTGGGCACTGGGCGTATATCCTGATCCGTCTCGACAGCATGGCGACACGTGGGACAGGTTCGGCGGGTGTGTTGCTGGGGCGCCCATGCATGGTCGAGGCAGTCGCGGCAAAAGTAGTGTTCGCACGAGAGTTGGACGGGCTTGTCAAAGGGCGTGTGGCAGATGAGGCAGACGAGGTTGCTGTCGGGCTCGGTGAGGTATTCGAGGTTCTGGAATTCGGGCGGGACCTTGACAATGTGACTCTGTCGGCGCTTGGATGAGGGTGAGTTTGACACACGAAGAGCCAAAGGCGAAGGACTGCCAGGAGGGCCACCGACCGTCATTCTCTCATCGTGCTCGTTGGCGGCGCTGGACGAGCGCGACGACCGCCGGTCTGCTGGAAACGGGATAGGACCGGGCGAAGGCATGGCTGGGGGGGGCGGCGGGGACAGGCTGGAGAGGAGGAGAGGTGGTGGCAGCGGAGTAGGTGGTGGTGGAGGGGCTGGAGCAAGTATGGGGCCTGGCGCGTGTTCTTATTATCTCCCAAGCAGGGCAGCGCCAGAAGCAAATATCATGGATGGCGGTCAGGAATGCACATGGTCCCGAAACTAGAGGGAGCATGCGGGCAATGGGTGTACATGGTAACTTGGGTGCCCGTCCCCGCCAATCGGGCGCCTCCAGCCCCCGGCCACGTGCAGGTGGAGCGGACCTGTCGTCAGCGGTCCGCTCCTAGAGCAGGACCAGAGCACCAGCCTTGTGCTTGTCTCCACCCGCCCAACCATTATCCCGTGCATTAATTCCGTCCGCTCTCTGGTGCGGGTGCCTCAGGTCGTGGTATTATTATATCACCCTCCAGCATTGACGCCCTTTGCTGGTTCCCGTAGCGCCGCATCCTGTGCACCCGGCAACCACCCGCCATCTACCAACCACTACCACCAACACCACCATCACCACAGCAGCCATGGCTACCAATCCCCCCCAGCTATTCCTCCTGGCCGACCACATCAAACTCTCTCTGCTCGAGCGCCAACGCGCCCTATCTCTCAACCTTCCCTCCAACAGCCAGGATGGCCAGATCTCGCGCTCCCTCGAGCAATTGCGGTCCGGCATTGAGTCCCTAGAGTCGCAAGTCGAGGACACATCAGACGAGTAAGCAACCCAAACCCACCCATACCCCCCCCCCCCTTGACTGGATCCATACCGTATATGCGCCTCCATTTGCCAACACATCTCCGCCTCCCAGATCCATAACATCGCAACTGCCCCGCCTACGCACCCAACTAGCCGAACTCACCGCGCAGTTCGACCATTCCGCCAACGCCTCGTCATCCACCTCCACCACCCTCACAACCCCCAACGACCCATCTCTCGCCTCGGACTTTAGCGCTGCCCAAAAGAAGAAGAAGACCGCCACCACCTCCACCAGCAGATCCTCCAAATCCGTCCGCTTCACCGACGCAGAAGACGATGACGATACCGATGCCGCAAATCGTGCAGCCCTCTTCCCTTACCGCGACGACCCCTCGGCAGATGCAGACGCCGCGCCCGACCAGTCCCACCTCGATAACCAGCAGACCCACGAGTACCACAGCCAAGTCCTGCGCGACCAGGATGACCAGCTCGACCGCCTCGGTGCGAGCATCGGCCGCCAGCGCGAGCTTAGTATGCAGATTGGCCAGGAGCTAGACGACCACGTCATGCTGCTTGACGATGTCGAGGAAGGCGTGGATAGGCATCAGGCCCAGTTCAATCGGGCCCGTGGCCGCCTCGATCGCTTTTCGAGGAAGGCGAGGGAGAATTGGAGTTTGACGGTTATTGTCGTGCTGATTGTTATCTTGGTCTTGTTGATCATCATTACAAAGTAGCGAGAGAGGGAAAGAGAGAGAGAGAGTCCTCCGTCTTTTTTTTTCTTTTTTTCTCTCTTCCTGTTTCTTCTCCTCGGGGAGATTCTTTTCTCCCAATGGCATGGTTAATGGCGTTTTGAGGTGCGTGGGTTATCTACTCGTGCTCATTTTTTTTTCACCAGTGTATTTTTTTTTCTATAGACACTTCATCATCTTGTAGTAACAAACACATCCACTTGTGTGCACTAGCAATACTCGTTCGTTTTCTGCTTGGTTTATTTACTACATGTTTTGCCTATTTCCCCTCGGAGACCCACACCACCAGCATACCCAATACTCTTTGTAATATTCAAACTTTTGAATAGAATAGTGATTGACGATGCCGCAACTCATACCATTTTTGCAAGATAAAGGAGGGGGTATCATTGTCTTGATATACGCAAACGAAAAAAAATTAGGCTGTCTCTCTCCTTCTGTTTCTCTCCCCCTTATGCTGCTTGTAGGATCCTCGGATACCAAATGTGTATTAGACCAACACAAGACTTCGGTCTTGGTGAGCCTCTAGGGTACGGCTACGTGGCCACTCACCTATTCGTGTGGTCAAGCCTTGGTCCTCGATAACCGAGCGCTTCACACAGTGTTGGGTAGCTCTGGTCCTTCATTCCCCACACCCACTCATGGCAGGCCAATGGTCTTTTTCGACTTGTCATATACAACGTACGTGATTGAGACAGCAGGAACGACCTTGAGTAGGTTTGGTGTAAGGCCCTTGAACAGTCCCCTCACTCCCTCACCAGCAATTGTCTGCCTCGTCACGTCCATGATACCAGTATACGTCCTGGGATGCAGCACAGTGCCTTGGCTCTGTAGTCGTGTTCGGAGGAGGTTGAGCGGATAAACGGCACTGGCTCCAAACGCACCAGAGAACCCACCAATAGCTGCTGTCATGAAGCCGCCGGGTTCCGCATCTTGCTCGTGACATCCAAGCCTCTTAGCATTGCGCCGGGCCACGTAGCGTTTGAGATACTCAAATGTGCCCAAGTCAAGTGCCGCATACGGAAAGATGCCAAAAATGCCCATGGGTAACCCACGGTAATATGCAGCAATACCGCCAGTGTTCCACATCTTCTTTGCTGTGGCCCAGATTAGGCGATTGCCATGTAAACCACCAGAGACAGTCTCGCATTGCATACGGCTGGTGATAGTTAGCTTGGTGTAACGCCCAACAACTAAGATTTACCCACAATTTCAACGTATCAATGGGATAGACGGCAAATTGTGAGACCATTCCTACAACTGTTTAGCTTTTGCATCTTCCAACATAGCATCGTGGCACCTACCAGCAAGACCCCCAGCGACAAACTTTGACCACGAATGAATATTTGCAGGGTCATTATGTCCTTCAACCTTAGCGAAGATGCGTTTCGCAGCCTGGGCAAGTCAGAAGTGCGTCGTGTTTACTTCCAAGTATATTTACCTCGTAAGAGCCGAATTTAATAGCTGATTCCGGCATCACCTTGACCACGTTCAAGCCATTGCCTGGCGTGCCTCGTTAGTCTAAGCCAATTGAAGACT